ACCTTATGCCAGCGACTTGAACTTGCCACAGTTGCTCGTTCCGCGCGAAGTGGAAGTTGCAATTGCACGTGCAGTCGTCAAACAGCTGGCGGTTGTTGTTTGTTTCCTCGTTTGGGTTGTCTTTGCGGCCGCCCGTTCATTTCCATCCAATTTTCTTCGCCTGCGACGGCTGCTGATTTCTGTATAATTTTCGTAATTTTCACTTTCACTCGACCAAAAACGAACAAATGGCAAACAAAAACAAAAGCTAAGGCCGCCACTGCGATTGCGGCTATTGCCATAAAGCATTTTTCAATCAAATTAACAGCATGTTAATAGCATAACAGAGACATGCCATTTGTGCATATATGAGTGAGAAAGAAATAGAGACATTGTTTATAGATGCACTGCAAGTAGTTAATGTTGTTTAGTTTTTGCATTAAATATTGTTAATTTCAAAAAATGCAAAAGGCCTAAACTTATAAATTATTACTCCTATATACATATATAGCTGTTCATTTCTTTAAACTCCTTTTTTCCTTACAGTAATAAATATTTGAAAACTGTATTTAATCACAGTAAACATTCCTATGACAAATAACTACAAAAACTTTAGTTCAATAAATAAATTTTGTAAAATTTTTTACCTTTAAGGGATATATTTTTTCTCTGTGCAAAAAGAGTTGCTAGGAGAAAGAGAAATAGGAGAAAAGCGTGCCAAGCTTGGTGCAATTGTTTGGCAAACACCTGCAATGCTCTCGCTCCCTCCTCTCATCTTGCACACTCTCCACGTTTGAGTACCGCTCTCTGCCAATTTTCCCACTCTAAGCTGGCTTCCTCAAACAGCCTCCGTTGTTGCTGTTGTTGCTGTTTACTATACCATTTTTTATTCGATCGCTGCAAGTGTTGTTGACCGCTGAGTTTGACGCCGAAGTAAAGGCCACAGGCGCTGCTCTCAAAATGCCGTTGTTCGTTGATTGAATGCAGCAGCAACAACAAGCCACGAACAACAATACTGCAAAAGCTTCCAATTTTAGAGATGAGTAAATAAGTTTTAGACAAACGGGAAATGTGGTTTAGATAATGGTAATAACAGGAAAAGGGGGGTTTTTAATATTTATAAAAATAAATTGAGCTTTGTTTTCTTATTGATGGATTCTCTTAACAAGTTAAATATTTATTCTGTGTTTAGACTACAATGTCCACTGTTGAGATGAACAAAATACGAAACTACAAAATAATAACTGTAGTCGGTGTAACTTGTGGCTTAAACGATTTTATTTGTATTTCCATGTGGAGGAGTTTGATAATTTCTTAACAATCTTTTAAAATCTGGTTATTTATTTCAGGGATACTCCTTTTTACAAATTATTGTATAAATCAGTTCTCAAGGGTTTCCTTTTAGCATTTCCATTTATGTACTTCAGTTTCGATAGTTCTTATCCCAGCGATAGGTGCACTACCCTACGATATCCCGTCTATTATCCACCGACTAGTGTGTGTATGCAATCCATGTTAATCACATTACGTGTACTCGGCTAATGCCTCACCGATTCTGTGGGAATTGCTCTGATTTTTTATTTTTATCGTTGTTGCAGTTGCACCTCTGAGCTCTTAATGCAATTAGTTAGAGCACTTTTTGTTGTTGGTGCTCCTCACCTGTGTTTTTTCCTCAATGCTCTTCGACACATCAGTTTTCCCACTGAAATGTAACTGTAATACACATTCCTTAACTTTTTTAGCTGAAGCTCTGAAACTTTGATATATTAATTGGGCTGCCGGGGTTTTGGGTTTCGGTGATAAAAAGTATTCAACTAGGGCTGGTTTATTCTTTTAACTGGCTGTTGTGTAGATGCAAATGAGAGTCGACACCCTTCGAAAGATGTCTTAAAGCCAGCCAGTCGGAACTTTTCAGGGGAGAAGGCACCTTCCTCTTTGACGTTGGCCGACACTGTGGGCCCTTTTCCCTGTTTTTCCCTCTTTTCTCTCTGTCTGAACATCGCCCCCTTCTGGCTATAAACGATTCTTCTTGGCAGCCATTGTTGCCGTTGCCCTGTCATTGTGGCAAGTTACAGGCCAACTTCCTTATCTTGAATTGCCGTGATGCGTAATTAAAGAAATTCCAAATTGCAGACGAAAGTTTGGAATGTTTCCTATGTATATGCTTTGACTCTTAAAATCTATATATTCTATATATAAATCTATATAGCAGGAACATTTTTATATATTGGTATATCTGAAATCAATTTCTGTGTTGCTTCTAAAAACATTTTTTTAAAAATAAAATATATTATTATATCACTTCAACAAAATCTTAAATTTGAACAAACAGACAGTGGATTCATAACTTGTTTAAATGATATGAAATTTATAAAAATGTTTGCTTAAGAGGAGGTCAACTGTATGTTCCCTGTTATGGCTGTACTTGTTACTGCATGTTGCTGTTGCAGACGACAACGATAACTTCCCACAGCCACATCGATGCGACAACAAAACTGATACACAGAGCTTAAGTCAAAGCCAAACTTAAAGCCAAGAGACAGTCAGAGTTTTCCCTTTCGTTACGTGACAGCGCCCAAACAATCACACGACCCGCAAGGCACCATCCTACAGATATAGATACAGAGACATCTACGGCTGCAGATTCATCTGCAAAAGACCTGGCTGAAACCTCAGACAATCTGCATATCCACTCAGATCTTAACTTTGCTTTCGATTGCGATGTGGTACGACTGAATTCGCATTGTTCTTAGCTCCGTTTCCCCTTATAATGACATAATTGACAGGCATCCATTTTCCGGCTGAATGCGGCAAACTTTCCCGAAATATTGGGATCCATTTCGTTTTTAATCTTACCAAAAAGACTACGTGGTTTATGCAACAATTTTTGAGTTGGCATACGCTAACTTTGTTTTAAAAAGTTAAAAAAAGGGTTTAAAATTAAGTCAAAACAAAAATTAACTAAAAAAATATAATTGTAAAGTTCTGTAATTTTTAAAGCATATAAAAAAGACTTCACTATAAAATCTTAAGAATCAAATGTGAACATCACTACGGAAGATAACACACGAATAAGAATGTTCGCAATGCTTAACTTATAATTGAAGGGTATATAATCTTCAACTTAAAGATTTACAGTTCCGACACTTTTCCTTTTTGTTTTTTGGCTTGAAGGAAAGGCGCTGGAAGGAGGGGCGTGTAATTATGATGAAACTGGCTGACTTGGCTTGTTGGCTGGGCAAGTTTTTGGGCGCTGTTTTCGAGCCGAGTGCGTGGCAGTGTTTATAGTGTTTTGATTCGGTGTACGGTTGTTTTGGGTCTTGGGTTTGTCAACCTTTGGGATCTCGGTTCGACGTGGGCTGGGCGACTGCCATGACGCATTCGACGGTTTTCGATTTAATTGCCGCTTTTCGGTTTCGCTTTTCCAAGCAAGCGGAGCGCTTATCAGTCGCTGCACTTGGCATTGGCCATGTTTTCTTTTTTGGCTTGCGGCTTTTTGTTTTGGCTGCACATCCGACATCCGGTTTCGGGTTTTGCCAAGCAATTTCCGTTTTTCCCATACGCGTAGTATCGGGAAATAAACACCTTCACACCCACCCACAAGTATTGGTTCAAAAGCCCTTTAATAAAGTCATTCAATAGGTCAGGCGGGTGATTCAGGGCCGATTTAAAGGTTGGGGGAGTGGGTTAAAGGGGGTTCTCTCAGGGGTGTGGATATCTAATTAGTCATTCATTTGCGGGGCTTCTTAACCTTTTTGGTTTTGAAAGGGTTGTCAGCTCTCAATTCCATTTCCAGGTGTTTTTACATTACATTTTTTATGAAAACGTTAGTTTTGACAATTATTTAAAACAAGAATTATTTAAAATCAAGAAATTATAACATTTTAATCCTTAATTTGTTTAAATGGTAAAATATGAAAAATTTAATTAACAATTTTATGTTAAAACTAGATACAATATTTAACGGTTTCTTCAGATCAAATGTGCACATATATGTATGTAGGTAGTCAAAAAAAGACCATTTTAATAAAGAAGTTGCTTTTCATTTAGTAATGTCTTAAAATATATTTTAATTTAAAAAGCATTCCTGGTTACTATTTATATTTTCTTACGCTGCTAGAAAAAACTGCTGCTAAAAATTACCGTTTTAGATGGTTTGTTCCAGAGAAACGGGAGCCTTGAGTGAAAGAATTTCTCTCTTGTGGAGAAAGCCTTGGGCAAAGAATTTTTCTAATTGAAGCGGCGCCATGCTGAGCCATGGAATTTTACCCAATTCCTCTTTCCCATTTCCCCTTTTTCCCATTTTCCAGCTATTTTCGGTGCTTATGCAAATGACGACACTTGGCTTATCTCTTGGCTTATTCTTTGAAATAAACAATAAACAAAAGTCGTGGCCAACTAAAATGTGTGACAGTTTCATAACAGTCACAATATCGGAGACTCGAAGAGCTTATTCTTTCGTTTTGAAAGGGGAGAGGGGATCTCTCAAATGTTAATCAAACATAGCTGTACAATTCCCAGAACTGGAACAATGCGAGAGTTAAGAACAAGGCAGATGGGGCTGGGGGATAGAGCCAAGAGGAAAATTGAATAGAATCTGAGCGGAGCCAATTAACAAATTTGAGTTGCAGTTATTCAGCCGCGCACGCTCTTTGAAGCTCTTCCTCTCTTTTTCTCGCTTCCCATTTTACTCACTCTCTTTTTGGAACATCTGTTTATTAGCCGCACTGAAAGAAATTCATTTTATATAAACTTTTTAAATAGTTGTTTACATCTTTATAAGGACAAAAACATTCACATATACTTCTACGCGTTGTAAGTTTCGGTCAAAATCTTATAGCGTTTATTGTTGTTAATGACTTAAAACTTAAAACCGATCTGTTAAGGTCACTATTTTTACCCTTCGAAGATTGTAAATGCAGTGCTCTCAATCTTTATCAAGCCGCTCTCTCACTCTCCCTCACCAAAATGATTTCTCACTCTCGGCTTGGAGCTGCGGGCTTTGGGTTTCTGTGCTTTTCTTCAGTTCGCTCGCGGACTTTCAATAAGCCGGTTGTGCCGCTGGTTCGCTCGGTTCCCCAGCTCTTTCGCCTGGTTCGTTTGTTATTGTTTGCGTGTGAAAGTAGCGGCGTGCTGCAGAGGAGAATTGCATAAATTGGAAGCCAAAGCGCTTTTATACCTGGTGATTTTCGAATTTTATGTATCGTACGGGTGTGCAAAACATATATGTTTTCCAACGGATGACGCACAAATGCGTTTTGGCCATGTCAATGTCCTTAATTTCGAAAGGCACGCCCACGCGACGCGAGTGCAGATACAGATTCGAATCCAGCAGATAAAGCTCTACATAGCCGCAATGGGATTAGCCGATTAAGAGCTGAGTGTAAGTTGCTAAACGAATCTATGCGATTTGGACCATTTATTTTACGGCTTCTTCGTTGGCTTGAGCGGATTTCTAGTTAATAATTAAGACAAAAGGCGAAAGATAAAAGGCACAGATACAGATACAGACTCAGATACACAAAACGGCGCTTGGGTGAAATTCCATTTCTCTTTTAATTTTATATTTCGTTTGGCTACCAGTCGCTTCGTAAAAAGTGAAAATCCCAGTGACAATCAATTAAAATTCGAGTCCAGTCGAAAATCGATTTTCAGTTTCAAGCGGGCCAACATTTTGTTCTAATTTTGCCACAATTTTGTTGCGGCTACCTTGTCTCCTCTTTTACCCTCTTTTCATCGCGGCGTCTCTTTCGCTGGCTTTATTTTTATTTACGGTACTTACGCTGCCGAGGCTTAACCCAAATTCACTTGTTGCATGTGCTGAATAAGCAAAAAATCGTTAAGAAAAAGAAGCGTTGAAGAAAAATGAAAATTTTCGTAGCTTTTAGTATTGTTGTCACAGTCGTCGATGCCTTTCTATGGCTTTGCCTTAATGCCATTCGACTGGGTCAAAACCCCTTCCCCCTTCTAGCAATTTTCCATATTGGTCCGAACTCGAATTACATATTAAAAAAATAAAATACAAAAAATGAAGCGTTGACAGCTTCAGTTGTCAACTAAGCTAAACAAATTCATCAGTACTAGCGCATATGCCATAATGAGTTGCGCTTGCCTTAAATCGTTTTTGGAAAATTTATTATTGACACTCGGAAAATCTCATTTCCAATTCAATTCCTCTGTCATTGGGGTTTTGTAATGCATAATCTCACACCAAAATCGATTTCAGACTGCTTAGGCGTTTGTCAAAAAATGTACAAAACTGAAACAATAATAACAAAGCCTGTTTGTACCTGTTAATACTGCTAAGCAGTCTTCTGCTCATAAATGGTCAAGTAATTTGCTTTATTTGGCACCTTATCTTGTAGCCAGTGGGTAACATGAATAACTGATTGGCTTGGAAAGTAAAACTGTTTTTTTTTTTTATAAATTAAAATATGGTCCAATGCTCCAAAAATGATTTCATATCAGAAAATTTGCTCTTTTACAATTGAATATGTATAGTAAAATAATCTTTTTTAAATTATGGTAACCAGATTCTAAAACAATCTAAACCGATAAATTATTTTTAAATTAGTCCTCTTTTTTCGTTTTTTAAATATAATAATAGCTTGTGTATTTTTTACTAACTATAGAGCATTTGCCATTTATTATCTTTGCAATCCCACGAACTTTACCTTTCCTATGTAGAGTGCGAAAATTAAATCGCTCACTTGATCCACAAAAATAAAAATAAAAGCAAAAATATCCCCCCAAGTACCTACACATGTGTTTTGTGGACGTGCGTGGGCCGATCAAGTGAAAAAGCATCGGATCGGCCAAGGGTATATCATGGGTTGATATATGTTTATGTTGATGTGTGCCCGTGGAGTTTATATAGCTGGCGACCTTGTTTTCGGTTTGATTTCATGTGCGTGTGGCAAACGCTTCGGTGTTTCCTGCCCCTCCGAATACCCCTAATGCTGTAGCTTAAATGGCATGTTCGCTTCTGTGTCTGTTGTGTTTTCCTTTAATTTTTTTCGGAGGCAAACGACCGATTAGAAATCGTAAGTTTCATTGTGCCCACTGGTCATTGGTTGTTGAATCGCCCTCTCTCACTTCCCTCGTCCGACTACTTCAACTTCAAAGCGGGCGCCAATTATCAATTTATGAATTGCCGCGGGCCAAATTAAAGTGGTCCATCATCATTATCATTAGTTAACTGAATTTACACCGATTTGATATACTAATAAATGTTTTTTCTCTTTTTTTCTCGTTACAGGTAAATGGAAAAATTGTTTGTTTTAAGTAAAATTTGTAGAACTTTTCCAAAAGAAATATTTCCAGTGCAAATGACCGGCACCACATAATACATATATCGTATGGATACCAGCGCACACGTGTCAATATCTGTCTGCACTCGCCTCCCTTTGCATTTGCATGCCAATTTCAGATACGAATTCTGTTATTTTTTCCGAAATTATGTGCGCAAATCGAAAAGCTTTCTAATCGCTTTTCCGCCGCCTGAGCGGAGCGTTTTTCCTCCTGAGCATTGCAGTTTGGGTCTTGGCAGCGCCTTGACATCGTCGCTTTTTATATTCGATATTTCCAATCCGTGTATACATATGAGTGTGTATATATGATGAATACGTAGACGTGGAGGTGGGTGCCTGGTGCTTTTTATTGTGACAAATATTTGGCCAGCTTTCCCACATCGACAGATTTTTACGTTGTGCGACTTTTCTTTTGGAAAATGAGTATACAAATTTTCGCATATTTCTACAGTGAGATAACGAAAAGAAAGAAATTAAAATTTAATATACTACAAATGTGTAACTTTCAATACATGTGTTTGAAAACTAAAGCAATTTGTGTAAAATAAACTTAATAAAATTGTATTATGGCATTGACCATGAACATGGTGTTCCTCAAGGATTTACGTTCCCGCCTTAAAGGATATCTGCACGTATGTATTGGGGGGTAATTGCAAAAACAAAAGTCTTGGTGTACACGTTTTTAAGTTTATGTAACAAAATGATATATATACAAAAAGCTATTTCCATTTATGGCCAAAAGTTTCCTATTGTAACGGAAAACGCCGACTAAATACACAGGAAATGTTACACAAACAAGCTATAGTTATTAATAATTACCGCAATTAAAGCTCTAATGTTTTTGTACATTCCGTTAAGCCATGGTTAATTAGCTCATTAAGGCAAAGAAGCTGATAAGCAAGTCGAGAAGACCGAACGTTCTCACTTGTTCTGCCCCTTTCTCTTTGTCTTTTCACTCTGATTTTCTGCCCACACACAAGCGGCATGCGTCAAAAAGAAATTCATAAATTTTTAACAATTTATTGAAGTTTTCTGACACCGCCTCTGCCCATTCCCCTTTGTTGTACTGCATTTTTGTGTAACTTTCTCAGACAGCAGCTGTCATTATACATGAGGAGCTTATATATCGCCTTTGTTTCGATGCAACCACACCGAATCCCGACGTATAATGAACATGTCGCTATATCGCATATTATGCTGATTATTCAAGTATGTTGTGTCAGTTTGTTTTTTTTTTGCTCCGCTATGCTAGGTTTGCATTTTCCTTTGCCTTTCTGTAATCACGTTATGCAACCTCATTTGGCTTTATTATGGTTATCAACATCAAGATGTTTTCAAGAATGCCACGCTGAAATTTCACATGTGAATAACATTTCCCAGACAAGCATTAGCCACAGTAAAAAAATTTGAGGAGTTAAGGTAAATACGAATTAAAAAAAGATATTTTCTTCAATTTGTTTGTAAACTTTTCAAATTGAATTATTCGTTTTTGATAAACATACAAAAAGTTCAAAGATGTAATTTTTGCTATCCATTTTCTGTTATATACCTAATACCTGTTTTATTATGTTAATTTTTAATATTAGAGTTCTCTGGTATCTCTTCTTTCTGTGTAATACAAAAAAAAAAACACAGTTTTAAATATACATCATACATTTTTAAATTAAGTTTAACTTTGAACAATAACCAATAACCTTAAACCAACAATAAAAACAAATTGCATACTATATGATAATCTTAAAAAGAGTATTATTATTTTGGTGAAGATCTTTTAATGCAGTTAAAAAGACCGACCCTTTCGATTTGTTTTTTCTGATTTAAAAAATTTTAAAATCATAATTCAATATAAACTAATTAGCATATTTGTGTCTATAGATAAAAAGACCGTTAAATATTATTGCATCATTAAAATTCTTTTCTTAAGGTGTAAGATACATCATACCTCTGGGAGCTTTTCATTCATTTTTCTCGGTGCCTTTGTTGATTTGCCTGATGATTCGCCTGTCTAAATAGAAGAGTTTGAAGGTGGGTCTATGGGTGGTTGGGTTGAAAAGAGTGTGGGATGACTTTTGGCACTTACAACTAGCTCGTTCGAGCTGTTTGTTTGTTGAAGTTCGCCGCGCTCTGTTGATTTCGATTTCTGGCTAATTGCCAATTAGCAGGATTGACTTAAAATCGCATTATCCTACTGGAAGGTACTTGTATTTGCAATATCGGCCCTTCGAAAGGAACTCGATATTTTGGCTTTAACAAGGTTGCGTTCGCAGCGAATTGAGTTGCGTGGTTTGAGCTTATCGACGGCGAACGAACCTGTTGCTGCTAAACGGTTGCCGTTCGTCACGATTCGTTCTTCGATTTTCCCCCTAACAAAACCACACACACCGGTGCAAATCCAGGCGTTCGTTATAGTTGGATGTTCTCAGTAACTGTTCGGCTATAGACGGGCGTAGTTAATTCCGATTTCCCGCCGGACTTCGATAGCGGTGACTCAGTTGTGTCACCTAATTATTGGTTATTAATCTGAACAAGTGTTGCAAATATTAACATAATTATCTCTCGAGTGCCAGTCATTCAAATAAGAAACTCAACAGCCTTTATTAACTGGGGACAAAATAAATAAAGAACCAAGCAGTGTGTGTGTGTGTGTGTGTGTATATAAAGTGAATCAAAATTTATGCCAACTTCCTTGTGTGTAAACAAGTGGCACTGGAATTCAAAGTTTCTTGCCAAACTTATCAGTCAACCGGGTTCTTTGATAAGAAAACGTTACGCACTCTTTTATTATTTTTCTGCCAACTCAGGGCCGCATTAACTAACAGAAGGCGGCTTAAGAAATAAGTAAAGAGCTTGAGGGTCGCAATATCTATTTAAGTTTTACAAAATAGATAATATTACAGAAAACTAAAAGTCTTTGAAACTTTGTAGATTTCATTAAAAAATAGTAGAGAAAAATCATAAAGTTTAAAAGTGAAACCTGACATTTCTTTATGAAAATTTCACTCGAATTACGAAAAAGTTTACATGGTCCCAACAAGTTTTAAAGGCATTAAAATCAATAGACGGTATTGATACAAGTTTAATGAATAACGATTCAAGACATTCGTTAATAAAAGTATCTACCAAATTTAACCATTCTTTTGTTGCTATGAATTTAAAAATATTTATAATGAGTTTCTCATAAACAATTGTTTATAAAAAGTTGTTTACTCTGTACCTCTCTGCACTTGCCACTTTGTTTGGGCATACATTACGCATATGTTTTGCAGAAAGTAGATTTCAAGAGGAATTGAAAATAAACACTTTAATCGATAGCCGAAATGTGTAACTTTTGTTGTCTATTGCTCACTGTGTAAATATGAACAAATCCTTTGCCCTTAAAAACCGAATTTCGTGTAAATAAAGGTGAAGAGTAATAAAACGATTAAGTTTATCTGTTTTTAAGAAAATAAAAATTGGTTTTTCGTTTCTTTTGCTGATAAGGATGAACTTGAACTTTATAAAAGAGACTCTTTAAAGACTTGCAGGTTTTTTTTGTTCACTTTTAAAATATTACTTTGATTAGTTGATGTTCCCTGGTATTCTCTTTAATTAGAAGGCATACGACTGATAAGAATAAAAACTTTTATCAGTATTTTTAGAATATAGTAACTTATTAAGTAGACTTCCATAAGTTTGCTGTTGCTAACTGACTTTCTTTTTTAAATAACTTTCGCCTATCAAAGAAATCAGCATTCTGAGCGATTTATTCGCTGAGAAAGTGTATCAGAGGCGAAGACGTTCAATTGAAATTGATCGATTAGAATTCCAATTTGCATAGTAATTGTCGTCGCTTGTTCGCTTGTTTCAAGTGACACCTTTGTCGACTTTTCCCGGGCAAGAAACGAATACTTCGAGCCGCAATGCAATGAGTGGTTATCAGACAGAAGCAATCGAGAACCGTTTAATGAGAAAGCCAAAGAAACTTGTTGAACTGAAAGAAAAAAAAAGCAGAAAAAGGCAGAGGAACCGGAGGAGGGAGGGGAAAACATTTTCTAGATAAACGGCAGTTGGAGTCGTGTGAATAAAAGTGTGTATATTTTTTTGTGGGTCAGGCTGTTCCAGCTAATTACCGTGAACTTGTCAGTGCACACAAAACGGCTGTAAAATGTCCAAAGTGAGGTAATAAACGCGACGACTTAGCCAGAAATCCGAGTGAATAATGTCCAGGCTGGTGAAGAGAATCCGCAGCATGATCAATTCAAGCAGCCACCGGGAACGCGAAGACTCCACCTCGATATCGAATTCCGAGGGTGGCGGAAGCGACAGGAAGTGCCACTCACTGCCCCGTCGGTACAGTAGGCACTCGGTCGCGCGACGATCGAACAGTGGTTTGTGGAATCGCCTAGTAACTAACGTCTTCGGTCCGGAAGATGCAGATGCAGGCTTCCTTGACGATGGCGGCAGTGTTGGTGGTTCGAAATTTTACACCGATTCAGTAAACGGTTCAAACTATGAATTATCAGGAGAAGTGAGTTTTTCTTTACTCCTGTTCTTTTCTAGATGTTGTGTTTGTGTTAATCTATTAGTTTTTGAAAGGGAGCCATCTTTAATTCGCGAAAACATTAAATGCAATGAAGAATTTGACTTACAATTTGTTATAAATAAGTATTCCTCAAAGGAAATGACAAATGTTAGTCCTTCTTAAGAAAACACAAGCATTAATATCATAAACATTGTTTATAGTAGTGTGATTATTTAAAAAAAAAAAAAGTTTCTTGTTACTTGTAAATTATTGACTCAAATGACTCTATTCTTTTTGTTCACAGGGCGAATACATAAAGCATCCCGTTCTGTACGAACTCAGTCACAAGTATGGTTTCACAGAGAATCTGCCCGAGAGCTGTATGTCCATACGGCTGGAGGAGATCAAGGAGGCGATTCGGCGCGAGATTCGCAAGGAGCTGAAGATCAAGGAGGGCGCCGAGAAGCTCCGCGAGGTGGCCAAGGATCGGCGATCCCTCAGCGACGTGGCCGTTCTTGTCAAAAAGAGCCAAAGGAAGCTGGCCGAGCTGAAGTCAGAGTTGCAGGAGCTCGAGAGCCAAATCCTTCTTACATCGGCCAACACTGCCGTCAATAGCAATGGACAAGGTAAATACATATATATTTTCCGTAAAGATTGGGCAACTATTTCCTAGCGTTGTCTCGCTTTTCGTTTTGAAAATCCATTAAGGCCTTGCTTTCGAAAAGCCAATCATAAACTGTTGCAATTATACGAGACCAAAGTTGAGCATATTTTCATGCAACAAGTTTTGTGGGCAACTGTAACGAGACAAGTGTTTTCCCAATAAAAACGAAGGGCGCGCCCAGAGGGAGGAACCACTAACGAAGCTACAACCAAAACAAAGTATAAAGAAAAGTTTGGGAGTACAATAATGTTGAAACACTTGTTTACCAGAAGAGGTTTTTAAGGTTATGTTTGGAATTTTTTTTGCTAATTGAATTTGCTTGATTTATGTTTACATGTTATGTATTAAGCATCTTGAAGTTTAATATATATATATTTTTTTTTTTTGAAATTTCTTTTAAAAATTAGTTCCACCTATACAACAAAGTAAACATAAGTCAAGTGATATTAAAAAAAAATTGCTTTTGGTAATTATTATCTATGTACTAGTTTGTCTGAATCTATTAATTAGCCAGTTAAATAGTTAAAATAGTAAATCTAAAAATATAACCATTATAGAATTAGAAGTATTTTGTTGCAAATGACTTTCGTAGAATCCAATAGAAAAAAATGTAAGGCAAAATAAGAAAGCCTCAAAAAAATGAAAGTATCTTTTCCGAAAAGAGTGACATCAAACGAACACGATTGCTGGAGTTGCTCATTGCTTTGGGAATGGTTAAGACCGCATTTAACGAGTCTTTGTCACGCACTTGCTTTTACCACACTTTTCTTGGGCCATCACTTAATGCTTTATGGTGACGAAAAAACATTGTGATGGGTGTGAAAGATCTGATTATCGTTTTATTTATGCCCTTGTATAGTTAACAAAGCACTTTTTGATAGACTCGGCGACAAGCCGAAATGTTTTCTTCATTTTCTACTTACGAGTATTTGTGTGATCCAACCTATTGACACAACTGGCGTGAAATGTGCTACGTTCGGTTTGTTTACATTTTCAAATGGAGACAGCGCTCTGGCATTCTGTTTATCTGCTTCCGTGTTTGGCCAATCCCCCAACAGAAGCATTTGACCCAGAAGAGCCGAACCATCCACGGCTGCCTTGTGTGGCGCCAAAGTCGACTTTCCATATGTCAAGTGAATGACATGTTTGGCAGCTGTCAAAGAATGCAGCACAAATGCCGATTCTCTTTGAATACATAGATGGTGCATCAAGATCTAAACATATGTATTTTTAGTCGGTGCCAACGAACAGCCAAAAGAAATGCAAACAAACCAACACGAATTAAAAAACATTTCTTTAAAGCAATTTATTTGGCACTTTATTGATCTGCGCTGGTGTTGGCTTAAATGCTTTCTTTTTTTCAATTTGTTGAATTTTTTTATTGATCATTACTGGTTCTGGATGAAAATCGTTTGTTTTTTATTACTTTACATGTGTTAGTCAATTAGCTAAAAGTACCAAAAAACAAATCTGTAAAATACAAACTAATTAAACTTGACAAAACAAAATATTCCCATCATGGCAGTAAATTCTGAAATTAGGAATTAGAAAATTCCAAAGTCGGCATTATTATTCATTCTTGTCGAGGCATTTACAACCCTTTAGTTCACACAGTAAATAAGCTATTAGAAACTTCCTTGAGTTTATTATCAAAATTGCAATGTATACTACAAAATATGGAAATAACAAATTGTGGTTGGTAGAGAATAAGATAGAAGTAAAATAATAGCAATAAATTACCTTTCGGATCAGTTGCAAAAACTAATTTATTGCTAACATTAGGGATAGAAGGAATGGGTTTCTGAAATTTAAATTTTCAAGTAAAACAATGATTGCGTAAAACAAAACTAATGGCTTTTCATTTTTTGCAGAATCAATTACTGCATGCATTGATCCCAATGGCGGATTCGTGGTCAGCGGAGCGGTTGGCGGACTGGGCGGTGGCAATACGGCTCTCGAGGGCGGCGGACCGGCCACGGCCAACGATAAAGTGCTCGCCTCGCTGGAGAAGCAGCTGCAGATCGAGATGAAGGTGAAGACCGGAGCGGAGAACATGATCCAATCGCTGGGCATCGGATGCGACAAGAAGCTGCTGGCGGAAGCCCACCAGATGTTGGCCGACTCGAAGGCCAAGATTGAGTTTTTGCGCCTGCGCATCATTAAGGTGAAACAAAACCGCGAGCAGGCCGATCGCCTGAAGGCCTCGCGGCAGATGCTCGACGAGCACGGCCAAATGATCGGCGGGAATAACAGCAGCCAGCCGCAGAGCCTGGAGACGACGTTGGAGGAGCGGATCGAGGAGCTGCGTCATCGACTGCGGATCGAGGCAGCCGTCGTCGATGGAGCCAAAAATGTTATCCGCACGCTGCAGACGGCGAATCGAGCACCGGACAAGAAGGCGCTGCAAGAGGTGAGTCCCAGACGAATTTTTTCATATATTCTAAGGCTCTTCTTTATTTTGAGGGAATTACCGCACACTTCGTCTGTGTTTTATAAATTTTTTTTTAAGTTAATATCTTTAGAAACAACTTTTAAGTCGATTTATTTTGAAACATAATTTGTTTATAATTTTTAATCTTGTGCGAATTTAAAGAAACGTTCAAAATGCTTTACTAAAATAACAAAATACCCTACTGGTAATCCGCAAATAATCTGAAATTATGCTAATCCCAGTGTTAATTAGAGCTGGCGGATGGCCAGATACACGTAAAGCCCTGCAAGTATTTCCCCGTTTCGATGAACTCAGGTGTGTTGCCATATGGCCACACGTCGTATGATTCATATTTGATATACCCCTGCGTATACGTGATTTTTGCTAGACTTGAGGCAACGGCATGTGAAACGGGAAACGGGAAGGAGAAAAAAGCTAATTATGCGGCTGCTTGAATATTTTTCAACGCTCTCCTCTTATATGATTTCGTTTTAATTTCAAGTATTTTTGCCTTTAACCGTCGTCTCATTAATTAAATGGACGTGGAACGTCGCGTTTACTTGGGTCCAAGAAAAATGATTTGGCAAGTGTGCTCAGGGCCTGCCCTAATAATTTTGGCACAAGATTTTATGCTCTTTTGAAATTTTTCAGTTAATAGCATCTCTAAAGAAAAAATTGTTTCAAAATAAACGCAGAGACAATTTTTGAATTTCACAATGCATTACCAGTTTAAATGCGAGAGCTAATACTTGTGTTTTCTTTTTTTAATTTTTGTAATTTCCCAATGTCTTTGCGTTTCCTGTCGCGTGGCAAGTTCGCTTTTTCCCCTCTTTGTGTTTTATCTTTTCACTGATGCTCATGTGGTTTTGCGTTCGGATTCAACATAAAAACGTATACGTACAGACACTTAACTTCCGCGGCAGCTACTAGAACAATATGTTGTCCGGGCTTTGGCCTAAATATTCTATTTGCAGGCCCCATTCTCATATTTATTTGTTCAGCGTTGCGGTTGCATCTGTCAGATGCAGAAACGAGAAAGTTTTCAGTTGCAGTTCGTTTCAGAGCTTCATGAGGAATTAAAGTTTAACGAGCTAGTGAAAGATTGCTGAATTTTATTCGACTGATCCCACTGTCAGCAGTGTCTGAATTCAACTTGAAATGAATTTGATATATCAACTTACAAGTACTACAAACATGTAGAAATATCTGTCGTTGCATTATCAAAAATCGCATCTAAATGTCCCCTACTTAAGTGCCAAATAATTTCATGCATAATGCACATTTATGCATTGTTAAGTTTTATGGCAAAACAATTTTAACTATTTTTGCCATTGCGTAAATGTATCTTAGTTTTTGCGGTGCATGAAAATATCGCAGAAGTTATTATACGATCGGCTAAACAATAAACAAAAAACTTTTGCCGCTGCCCTTTTGGCCATTTTGAAGCGTTTTGCTAAACATTTTTAGAACTATGTTGCTCGCTGGCACACAAACATTAGATATATAAACAGGTCTATAAGTCTGTGCCTCCGTTTGATCGGGCAAAAACGAGAAACGTATAAAACCGTCATAAGAAACGGAGCGAAAAGTTCTCTGGCCAGCAGATGGGAAAATTTGTTGTTAGCCACCGCTTGTTGATGTGTATGCTACGCTCGCTTCTCAGCGAATTTTCCCAAGCAGCTTTTCCTCGGCGTTCAGTGCGAGTTGGATTGCCGTTGGCTACGTGTGACGCCGCCTGGTGTTTTCCGATATTTTATAATTTTTATTTTTTTTTAATTACCGCGTCTTGCGTCGCGTTCGTGTTTCTTTGTTTTCTCGGGTTTAAAAGTCTCTAAGTGTGAATAATAATAACCATAATGGAATAATCAAAGTAAACCCGTGAAAAGCACGCACGCACACTATACATATAACTGGATTAGAATGTCTGAGCCTGACATTAGCTCTCCAACATTACGCATACGCAGCGTGTGCTGCAGGTTTTCTGCGCTTATCCACCTGAAATTGCGTAATTTCACGTTTGGATTGTCCGTTCTTCTCTCGATTTCCCCAGATTTGGCTTTTGGGGTCATCTTGCAATTTTAGCGTAACGAAAAAACACAAATTTTGTTAAAAATAAAATCACATAAATTTAGAAACACAATTTTACAAAGGCTAAGAAAAACCGAAAGTGTTTTCGTTCCACCCCATCTCTTAACCCCGCGATTATAGTGTGTGTGCGTTGGCTGAATGAAGCTAAAAATACGACAAAACAAAAAAGCAAATTAATATAGTTGAAACTGCCTGTGAAGAATGTTCGGTTTAACCGAAAGAGAATATTTAATTTGAAAAATACACCAGTAAAGCATTACGGAAAATCACTTGGATCTTAAAGAATTAATTGTATAATTTAGTGTCACGTAAACATTGCACGAAATCCATGGAATCTGTTTAAAATATAAAATTCAAAGGAAACGTGCAAAACAATTATAAACAACCTGTGGAGATGTTACCGCAAATTGTTCATATAAAATTACTATAAAATGGTTAGCATTCCGGAGGCATTTTCAATCGTAACCGTTTGCTTATTATAAATATTTGACTTTTGTTCTACAATAGGAACTATCAAAACCGTTTCTTGATATTTTTAGCAAGAATATAAAGTTCGTATGTGACGTATGAACAGATATATCTATGCAGTATATATAGTGCGTGTGTGTATTTGTGTGAATATATTGATGGCACCTTGAGCCACACCATAACCACAACCGAAATGAGTTCGTTTTGCGATCGCAAGAAGTGTGCGTAGGGAGTGGGAGTCATGAGCACGCCCACGCCCACGCCCACTCCGGGGGCGGTTCTGGGCCAGCAGGTGCCACTGCCCCATGAGCTAACCGCCGAGTGGACGGTGCGAGCACATCTCACTTTTGCCCGAGCAGGTGAGCCCGTGCAAAAGGAGAGCAGTGCTCCGGAGGCGGTGCATCCGATGCGCGTTGTCTACAAGTGGTGCACGCCCTGCGAAGAACCCGAAACAGAGCAGGATGTCGACAAGGTGAGTTTGGTTGTATGAACTGATTGTTTTCATAGTTAACCAACCATATAATAACCTACAGACAGCTGCCTTCACGGGAACCAGCTTCCGTTCCACCAATTCCTCGGCCACCACAAATGCTGATTCTGCTTTTGGCAGTCCACACGCATCCAGGGCGCTTAACAAACCCTCTGTGGCCACTGAGTTGCCTGCTGCTCCTGCTGGAGTCACTGCACAAGTGTGCGGAACTCGCTGCCGGAGCACCTGCAACATCATGGTGTCCGCGGTGGCGGACTTCCTTCCCCAAGAAGCGGGAGCCGGAACTGTGAATGAACCCTTTGTGTACCACAGCAAAGTGCGAGCCCAGCAGCTGAGGGATGCCTTCTCCCAAACGAGTGACACTGAGGAGCAGCCGACAAGGAGGCGCCCAGCTTATGAGCAACGAAGGGCCACCACCGAAGCTCTGATGAATTTCGCCAGCAAGCGGCAGGCGGAGGAGGCTAACACTTATGTGGTGGGTGTTGAGTTTGTTGAGTAATAAATCCCCTGCACTTTCTAATTTCTTATTTCTAATGAAACCCCTTAGCCAACCTACTCGCCCACGCCCACGACGCCCTCGTCCACATTCAAGTCGGCTTCGATGTCAAGGATACCACCACTAGCCGGCAACTTGCAGCAGGGAGCAACTCCCAGAGTGCCCAACTTGGGGGAGAAGAAACCCCGCACTGTTCACATTGATGTCTATTGCACGGGTTCGGAGGGAGATGAGGAGGAGGAGGAGGCGGATGACGAGAGGCAAGCCGATGAGGAGGCCTCTAGCTCCTCCGATTCCGAGCTGGCTGGAAGCAAGCGCTACGAACTGGACTCGAACTCCACTCCGCAAACCGTCCTGGACAATGAACAGATGCTGCTGCGCCATCAGAGAATCTCTGGGGGCGCCATGCCCAGGCGTCTGGCTCAAAATCAGTCGAAAAATCAAGCAGAAAACCAACAAGCGGATCAATTAAATCTAGGACATGCCATTACTAAATGCAGCACCGCTGAGGAAGTATGTGAATCCAAGCAGCTGCTGTTCCGCAAACACATTGGCGATCAGCGGGCGGCCAAGTTGGCTAACCTGCGCCAGAAGTACATGCGCCAGCCCAGCGATGAGACCATCAGTAGCACGTACCCCAACTCCTCGAGATCCACGATGCCAAGGGATGCCACCTGCAGCAGCGTTTCGAGTGTCGTGGGTGGAACCGACTGTGTGGACTCCTCGTGGAAGGAAACCGATGAACTGGATACGCCGCTGGTATCCTTCGGTTTGACCAAATCCGATAGCTTTGACTACGAGAACTCGCTAGACCGCCTGCGCATTAGCCAGATGGAGCGACTTTGGTCCCGCCAGCATTCTCTGGACCAGAGTCCCGTACAAGCCCATCTGGGAGCACCATCCCCACATCCCCTGCAAACCATAACGGAGGTGCAGTCGCAGCGCAGCTCGTTCCAGCGCAGCGACACCATCCCCTCGGAATCGGATGGCTTCTCGGATGCCAATGGATTCAACACCTATCCGGGGAGGCAGTCGCAGTTGCAGCAGATCTCGCATTTCCCGCGTAATCGTCCAGGCTTCCTGCAGTTCTTTGGACCCACGGGCGGACCGAGTGGTGCGGGACAACCAACGCCGCCAGCCACGGCACCTGTTCAACCCGCTGCGGCTGCCACCACTGATCCGTTCCGCTTGCTCCATCCGAGCTACCGTTGGAAGAGCGAGGCACGCGATAACCTGAGCGTGCAGGTGGCTTCCGGATCACCCTCCTCGGAGCGCAGTTCCCCGCAACTATTGTCCGCTGCAACCACAGTGGTCCGTTGCGGCAGTGAGGCGCCACCGAGCACCACGTCAGCCAGTACTTTCGGCACCACAGTGACGCCTTCGCCTTTGCCAGTGCGACGTTTTGAAATATCACGCGACAGCCCAAGTCTCGCAAGTGAGGCCTCCACTTCCGTTTCCGGTTACACCCACGAGCATTTGGAGAAGGCTCGCCGCTTTGGCAACGTGGTGGCCATGAGGAAACCCGGCCATCATGTGGGTCCCACCAAGAATCCGAATTGCCAATGCGAAAGCTGCCAGCGTTGGCTTGCCGAAAGGTTCCAGCTTCGAGGCAGAGCCTTCTCCCTGGGCGAGAAGCCCTTGATCAGGCGACAGTAGTAATATGAAGTTGGACTTACTCTTCTTTATCTAAGACTTGCATTTAACACACTGCTTTTGAAATTGCCACGCTCCCCATTAACCCAGACCCTTATCCCGAACCCAGAACCAAATTACTTTCGATTAGTTGTAAGCCAAGTAAGCGAATGTTCCTCACACAAAACAGAATTTGTGCGCTGAATCAGTTTAATGTTGTAATTAAATAAAACAATAGTTTTAAATATTAATGTATGTTTTATTTTGGTGGTTGTAATATTATTTGTATTATGTGATTACAAGAAACGAATAATTTTGATTATAGATCACTTAAAAGTTGTTTTATTAAGGATTTAATATTAATTTATTTATGACATTCTATTTTTAGTTGGTTTTTAAATGAATGAATCATAAAGAATCGGCAGCACATTTTGCGAAAAAACATGTGGGTTTTGCTCCAAGCACTTATGGTCATTATTTATAAGGCAAATATTTCACAAAAAGTTTAGACTTTTAGTAGAAATGCAAAAAATTTGTAATGATGAGTAGAGAGAAAGCTAGGATTAAGCTCTATTACTCCTCTGAAATAAAGACTAATTCGCTTTGTTTTAAAACCAGGCCCATGGACGTTTGTCGGAGTCGTCGCGAAAACTTGATCTCTTGCGGTACTCCCTGGAGCTGCGTCGCCAGGAGCTGCCCGTCGATTCGCCCGCCGCCCAGGTATTAAAAACGGAGCTGCAGATCGTGCAGCAGTCGACGTCCCCAGCTCCCGTCACCTACACTTCACTGCAGACCGGTCAGGGAGGATTACTAGGTGGAAAGCCCTACCAATCGGTGTCCTCGCTGGGACGCTGCGCCAGTGTGACCGGGAAACTAGAGGTTCGCCTGCTGGGCTGCCAGGATCTGCTGGAGGATGTGCCGGGCAGGTCGCGAAGGGACAAGGACAACAACTCGAGCCCAGGCGATCTGAGGAGCTTCGTCAAGGGCGTCACCTCGCGCAGCAGCTCGAAGAGCTATTCGGTGAAGGACGAGACCTCCCTGGAGATCATGGCGGCCATCAAGCTGGACAACATTACCGTGGGCCAGACCTCGTGGAAGCCGTGTTCGCAGCAGGCCTGGGATCAGCGCTTCTCCATCGATCTAGACCGCTCGCGTGAGCTGGAGATTGGAGTTTACTGGCGCGACTGGCGGTCTCTGTGCGCCGTGAAGGTGTTGCGTCTGGAGGAGTTCATCGACGATGTGCGACACGGCATGGCCCTGCAGTTGGAGCCGCAGGGCCTGCTGTTTGCGGAGGTCAAGTTCTTGAACCCCATGATTTCGCAAAAGCCCAAGCTGCGCCGCCAGCGCATGATCTTCAACAGGCAGCAGGCGAAGAACATCTCGCGTGCCAAGCAGATGAACATCAATGTGGCCACCTGGGGCCGTCTGCTCAAGCGGAATGCTCCGAATCACGTGCACTTGGGATCTGTTGGCTCTGGATCTGCAGTACCAAGTGCCTCTCCCATGGCGGTTAGCGGGTCGCGGGACTCGGAGTCCCCCATTTCGAGGACGCCCTCGTCCGATGCGCTGGTTGAGCCGGAGCCATATACTCCGGGCGAACAGGCCCAGAATCTGGAGTTCGACCCGGACGCCGGAATGCACGAACACGTAGAGACACCGGGTGAATACCCGGATCCGGCGGCCAGTGGTCTGAGCGGAATGCGTCCCCTGTCCATGCACATGCAGGGAATCAGTGTCCTGCCACCGGAATCGCCGCCCGTTGCCACAGCAGCCACTGGAAGGCCCAACACGCTCAGTTTACAGATGCCGGGAGCCGGCAAGGGACAGGTGATCCAGGGCGGTCGCACTGCAGCACCCACAACGGCGCCTCCACCACCACCCGTGCTCAAGTCAACGTCCACCACTCCGATCCTGGACCAGGAGGTAAGTTGTGCACCTATTTTACCAAGCGATCCGTGTACAGTTGAATAGTCAGTACTGGACCCTGTATAAAGATCTGCGTATGTACTTAGCTGTGTACCCGTAGCTGGTTTGATCGTTGTGCCTGCCACCTGCTCCTCCGCCCACTCTCTCATGTATCTACTCACGCACACACACACACTCAATCTGTACAGCCATCACATTTGGGCATTTGGTTTCGGTTTTGGTAGCATATCACTCTAATCTGTGCATTTGGAAAGGCAGCCAAACTCCATGCAGAACCATCATCGATCGCAGGAAATGACAAAGAAGCCAAAAAACATTGAATTTCAAGGCTTGGAAATCGATTGCTTGTGTTTTTTTTTTTTTATTACTATGACCTTTCGTATAAGCCTTTAATGAATCTTTAACACTTGAACTTAATTGAATCCCGGATCAGGAGAATGAATCTACAAAATTTTACAAAGTAAAAAAACATATTAAATATTTTAATTTAAACTCCATGCAAAATGATAGAAATCCATTTGAAAATAAAAAAATCTCACAGGAAATTTAAATTAAAATTGTGATATGCATCTCTGAATCATAAAATCAATTTACAATTTTACAAAAACTCTTGTTTTTATATTTTTAAAAGTCATAATAGATTTTGAAAACCAACTGAGCAAGGTGATTTTATAATCTCGCTTAACATATTCCGGAAATTAGATTAGACTCAGGCAATCTTTTGCCATCTCCGCCTTTAACTTTTACCCTTTAACGTCATCCCATCAACGTCATTTCTTTTAGCTTTCTTCTACCCCTTCTCTTTCTTTTGAGAAAAATGCTTATTTTTCCCAAGCTAGTATCCTTTCCACCTCTTCATCTGTCTATATCCTTTGCATTCCGCTTTGAATGGCCCGCCGTCATCCTTCTCTCTCTTTTCCTGTCTCTGTGTGTTTGTGTGCCCGTCTCGGTTTCCGTTTCCGTTTCCGTTTCCGTTTTCGTTTTCGTTTCGTCATGATTTCGTTAATCGCCGACAGCTGCAGGATGCCCTGCAAGAATTCGATTTCCTATCGGACCTGGACTCGCGTCCTACCACGCTGCGTCGCCTGCTGAAGGAGCAGCACATGTCGCTCGATCCGAGTGCGCTGGAGAACCTGCTGCTGCAACAGCAGCAGTCCGAGCAGCAGGCGCTGCAGCAGCGCCAGCGCCAGGAGCAGCTGCGTCTGCAGCAGTTCCAGGAGGCGCAGCGTCAGGCGATCCTGGATCTGTGCGAGAAACAGAGAGAGCCAGCGGAGAAGCAGCAGCCACCCGCCTTTGTCCACCCAACGCCGCTTGCCAATCAGATCATGCCAAACCAATGCGCCCGCCCCAGCCAAAGCCAAAGCCCAAACCACAACCAATTTCAGTTGCAGCAGTTGCAGCAGCAGCAGACACAACCCGCCCAAAAGACCACGATTCCCGAACCCGTTTCCGCTGTGGAACAGCAGCTGCACCGTCCTGTCTTGATCCTGCCACCAGTGGTGCTCCTCGGTGGGCGGGAGGAGGACCGGTCGGTGCCGCCATCGCCACTAGTCGAGTATCCCGAGGACGATGACGAGTATCTGTACCGGGGCAGCAGCGAAAACCTGGCCAACCGGCCACACTCCAGCCACAGTTCCAGTGCCGGCGATCGTTTCTGTGTGGAGGTTAGGAGGTTTTTCATTTCCTGGTTTGGTTTCCGGTTCAATATTCTGTTCTCGAAGTCTGATTTTTACTTCCTTTTCAATTATGCTTTCACTAACCCTAATTTTCTTTTGATTTTCTCACATCTTTTGTTTGTGTTCTTGACACGCGTTGGGTTATTTGTTTCCTCCTTTTAAATGTCTGTGTGTGTGTTTCTGGTTCGGCTTTGTTTGTCAAGACAACCTCTGCGAAGCCCCAAAACTTGTGTTAAAACATTTGATTCATAAACACACACATACGCACTGTATTCAAATCGCATTCACAAGCACCGAAAAGACTAACATAATCTTAGTAGAACTAACTAAAAGTTGAGCTTTGAATGTGGCTAACAGTTTGCATAGCACTCGTTAAAAATAAAAAACTTTGTAGTTAAAAGTAGATAACAAATCTAGAACTTAGCAATGCAATTAAATAATAGTTTAGTATTTCAATTGATCTTTTATAATACGCATCTTTGATGGCATAAATGTAACATGCACAGCTTAGTTAAATAGTTCCTTAACCCCTTTATTATAATCTATTATTATGTTGCAAAGCCAAACAACTTGAGAGCTTTAAATATTCTCTTAAATTCATTATTCCCATTTCTTTTTATTTAATATACAATTTCGATTGGGCCGTGCCAAAGAGATATAATCGAATCGAAATGAAAGCTAAAAGTGACAATTTTAAACTCTTTAAATAGACGCGCTTCTGGCGAATGACAACGGAAAGATCAGAGGAAAGAACCGGGGATATTCTTTGGGGGAACGGGGTCCCGAAAGTGCGCCGCTTCACGTGCCAATGGTCGGGAAATGTTTTAATTTTTGTCACCCACACCAAGCCCTCGTTTTGCCCGCCCCCGTCCCCGTCCCCGCCCCCTCACGTTGCAACGTCAGCGTTCCACATTTCCATTTTCATCTAAGATGTTTGTCCCTGTGTTCGCTTACCTTTGTATCTATGTGTCCAAGCTACATATGTACTCATCGTTATGTGCGCTGCGCTGTTGTCACATTTTCCTTTTGGCGGCTGGTAATTTTTAGACCCAAAACAACGACGCAAATGCTTGGCCTCTGGTCATGACTTTGGCACTTGTTTGCCTTCAGTTGGCCGGCGCGGTTTTAGCCATCTCGCCAAGTATCGTATCGGTATCGATCGAAATGTAGGAACGTCATGATAGTGCCAACTTTCCATGCGCTCGGCCAGGTCTTGAGGCAGATGTTTGCGGTCCAACTCCAGCAGCAACAGCAGCACACCCATAATCATCTTCTTGATTTGTCCCCCTCGCGAACCATCAACAAACTGTTACTGTGTCCCTGCGCATCCAATCCTGTTCCACCCGCTGTATGTGTGTTCTTTCTTGGGCTCAACCCAATCGCCCAGATCAATCAATCAACCTATGAAGAACCATCCTCTTGCAGGCCCGTATTAGTCTTGTACATATTACCCTCGAACCGGTCAATGCCAGCCGGACGACCAGCTGCCTGATCGAGGAGGTGGCCGAGCCGGACGTTCAGCCGGAGATCAAGCCAGTGGCAGTCGAAGAGCAGTCTAGAAAATTATCCCTAGCTTGTGTCGAAAGCATTCTCCTCGAGACAGTTGAAAAGTTAGAAACAGAAGACCAAGTCCCGCAGGTAACAAGCAGCAGGATGCAAACTAAACAGATTACCAAGCTCTCAAGTTGTAGCCACTAATAGCTTTGTTCCCCAATCCGTTACTCCGTTAACAACGACTTAAGTTGAGTCTCTTGTATGCCTTAGGTTATACCACAGTTGGGCAAGCTCTTCGTGGGCGGCAACCAGCAGCAGTATGTGCAGCAGTCGTCCCCCATCATCCAAGAGCCACCCACTCCGACTATCTACGGGAACAGTGCGGCCGCTGGTGCTCCGCAATTCCCGCAGCCCGCTCAGCGGCAGGAGAAGCAGCAGCCACCGCAGCAACAGCCCATCTACGCCAACCAGTACGAGCTGAATGTGGCCAAGGCGGCAGCGGCGGCGTCAGTTTACTCACCCAGCTCCTCCGCCAACAGCAACTCCAATCAGCAGCAGCAGCAGCAGCGCAGGAATGTGGCCCGAGGTCTCCAGTATCGCGAATCCGGTGGACTCGAAACAGGCAGAGTTGGAAAGCAGCCCGCCGGCATGCTGTCGATGGACAACTTCCGTTTGCTGAGCGTCCTGGGACGCGGGCACTTTGGCAAGGTTATTCTGTCGCAGCTGAAGAGCAACAACCAGTACTACGCCATCAAGGCGCTCAAGAAGGGCGATATTATCGCTCGGGACGAGGTGGAGTCGCTGCTCAGCGAGAAGCGCATCTTCGAGGTGGCCAACGCCATGCGCCATCCCTTCTTAGTCAACTTGTATTCCTGCTTCCAGACTGATGTAAGTCGAAGGCTTTGTTGCACTTTCCTTTTTTTTAATGCATTTACTTATCCCCTTTGTTGTTTTCTCCTCAGCAACACGTTTGCTTTGTGATGGAGTACGCCGCTGGCGGAGATTTGATGATGCACATCCACACGGACGTGTTTTTGGAGCCGAGAGCCGTGTTCTATGCCGCATGTGTGGTTCTAGGCCTCCAGTATCTACACGAGAATAAAATAATCTATCGGGATCTTAAGCTAGACAACCTGTTGTTGGACACGGATGGTTATGTGAAGATTGCCGACTTTGGCCTGTGCAAGGAGGGCATGGGCTTCGGCGATCGCACTGGCACTTTCTGTGGCACGCCAGAGTTTCTGGCTCCCGAAGTGCTCACGGAAACATCTTACACACGAGCTGTGGATTGGTGGGGTTTGGGTGTGCTGATTTTCGAGATGTTGGTTGGTGAGGTGAGTCGAAAATAGAGATTTACAATAGACCTACGCATAACTGAATCATTTTTTAGTCTCCGTTCCCTGGTGACGATGAGGAAGAGGTTTTTGATTCAATTGTCAACGATGAGGTGCGCTATCCGCGCTTCCTTTCACTCGAGGCCATAGCCGTGATGCGCAGGGTAAGTGAATAGAAACATTATCTTCTTAAAACATAACATAACATGTCGATCAACTTGCAGCTACTGCGCAAGAATCCAGAGCGACGTTTGGGATCTTCGGAGCGCGATGCGGAGGATGTTAAGAAACAGGCATTCTTCCGTTCGATTGTGTGGGATGATTTGCTCCTGCGCAAGGTCAAGCCACCATTTGTACCGACCATTGTAAGCTGAAATACGGAATTTCATCCAACATTCGATATACAAATATTATTCTTCTATGCAGAACCACCTGGAGGATGTCTCCAACTTTGACGAAGAATTCACGTCGGAAAAGGCGCAGTTGACGCCGCCGAAGGAGCCGCGACACCTGTCCGAGGACGAGCAAGTGCTTTTCCAGGACTTTTCATACACGGCCGAATGGTGTTAGGCACTCGTTGTTAGTTCAAGGGTTCACCAATGGGCCTAGCCCGATCGTTATAGCCTTTGCCTTATGCTTTTACTTGTGTACGTAGTTGGTTTCGAGTGATTTTACTTGGTTCAGTCGATGTCAGTTTATTATTTATTCGTGAGACATCATCATGATCATGCAGATAAAGGACATATATATTTATAAACAATATCTATATAGAAAATATATCTATTAATGAGAAAACTGTTGAGTGTTGCTCACTGGCCGAGAGACCAACATAAACCAAATTACCTAGTTGTCCACTTTGTGGCAAAGCAATCGCATTTGTCAATCATCAATCCAGCCAGAATCCTCCCACATTGTCGTATCATTGTACAGAAAACAGAGTTGTTTCCTTTTCCTGACACTAGAGCACATTGAATAGTCTGACAAAGCCCTAGGAAAGCCTTAACCGCAAAGTTGTATTTTTGGACATTTTTTGTAGGACCGGATCTAAATAGATTTTATAGATGAGATATATGTTTACACCCCAAAGCAACCAATGCAACCTATTTTCATAGTCGATATACGGTTCTAGTGTTAGGAAAAAACTCGTATATTACATTAAGAGAACCACAAACAGTATCAGCCAAGGCAGTTACACATGATGATAAGATTATTGTTTCCAGTATCAATGCTTTAGTGTGTCCTAAATAACTTATTCAACTAGGCATACGTGAAGTCAATAATGGATTGAAAGAGGATATATGAAAATTGTTTAACCGGAAATTCACAAATGAAGTGCAAACTTTATGAAAGTGCGATAATGAGGAAACCTCTTGCAGTAGGAACTCATCTTTAGGGCATATTTTTACATATTTTGTTAAATCCATCATTGACTTTGCGAGTTCCAAGTTTACTAAATTTTATAATTTACAACGAACTCTCTAAGGCATTATTTCTGGAAACAATCATCTTAGCATCATTAGTAAAAGGCTTGGTTGAATCTGGTTTGTTTGCATCATTGGGCACCCAACGTTCGTCCATTGCCTTCGCCACATTAGCGCTGCGACCGGTTGGATCGACGTTTTTGTCATTTTCATCGATTAGCTGCTGCGGATGAAGATCATCCATGGCAACAAGCTTTCTCCCATCTTCGACGGTCTTTTGACACGTCTCTTCCGCATGACTTTCGCTCTTTTCGTTGCTGAACTGGACATAACGTCAGATCCGTTCAGGCTTTTGTAAATAGGTAATTATTATTAGTATAGTAAAGTGAAAAAAAGTAAAATATTTACAACTTTAACATGTAAGCTGTGTAAATTGCCTTGCGCTTTTTATCAACTCCCCAGCCCATTGCCCGAGTTGTGTTATAATTTTAACATATTTTTTACGTCATATACAAAAGCGAACATTTGTTATTTATTATTATTATACCTACTATACAAGAAACTGTATTGCTTTGAGCATTTTTATTTGACGTTAGATTGATGATTGTAAGCGATTTGTTTGTATGTGCGGTATGCTTTAAACCAGATAGGAGGATCAAAACAAAATACCGCTCGACGGAATGTCTTGAAAATCCGGTTGATAGATGGCGTACAATCCGGAATGCTTTTTTTTTAAGATCTATGCTATATTTAATGTAACTTTTTAGTTGTATTTAAGCTTGTAATAATCGATTATTGAAACGTATTCTAAGCTACCAATGTATGAAATAATTATTGATAATAACGATTATTATAACGATTATGCACCCCTCATGCGAATCGAAACGAGTATAAACAATGCAGATCTTCTATTGTCATTTTTATTATGATTATACCCACGTTTTGTTGCTATAATCGATTTCATTTTAAATATGTCAAATCGAATTGGTCAGCATCCAGTCACTTTGTTTAGCTTCAAGTTGTGACTGTAATTTATATTTATGATATGATTTTAAATAAATGTATCTATCGCTATTACTCAAATCAAGTTTTTGTTGGGAAGCTTTTCGCAGAGACCTTCGTTAATTTGGTAATATAAAATATTTGCTGTGTTGTCTACGATGGCCAGGAATAGAGTTCTGTTTGGAAATATATGAAGTTAGCAAAACTGACTTTACATCATTAACTTTTGAAACTCACATATTTTTCAGTTTTTCCTGCAAAGCTTCCAGAATTCTAAAGTCAACTTCCTTTGTGTGAAGAATAGGTAGGTAAGCTTTGTTATTATTATTTAAATAAAACACTTTTAGATTGTCATCAAAGTTTGGTTGTAAATCGAAGTCCGTTTCTAAAAAAAATTTGAAGTAAGATTATTAATTTAAAAACGAATCATGCAGTATTTACCATTTTTCAAGTCCTGGTAAATTTGAAAACCCAAAGCAGCGGTCAAGTCATCAGGGCATACAGTTTGAAAGTCTGTGTATTCCAACTGGGAAGTAAACATACTAATTACAGTTTAAGTTGAACCGGCGCTGGGCGATTGTTTACCATGGCTGAAACACGATTGAACAATTTAGTTTTAACGTAGTCCTTGTTTTGTTGATTTTTTAGGAGATGTCAGTTAATTTTTTATCACTTTTATTGTTATTTAAAAAAAAATTAACTTAATTTCAGCTGGAACTTTTCATTTCTCCCACAAATTCTGAACAGCTGTTGTAAAGGGTTGTCACCTTTAAACAAAACTAATAAAGGGTTTTGGAGTGTTGCAAAGTCAAAAAATGTTTGAAAGTTGGCGCACATTTTGTGCGCCTTTGTAAAGATCTAGAAATATTATAAACTTAAATTTATTTCACTTACTAGGAACTGAAGCTAAGCACTTAAACATATAGTGTACCATCTTAATGCTAAAACCTTTAAAAATTATAAATTGACTATCTGCTAAAAGCGCCATCAAAGCATAATCTTTGTATGCAGACATTGTCTTTGTCTAGACAAACTGGCAGGACAACTTGGGTCCTTGACAGGCAGAAACGCCCAACTCCCAGGATCCACAACTCCAAACTCCGAAAACGAAGACAAGAAAGGGGCAACAAATTATGCTAAGTAGATGCAGTTGGTCGGAGAAAGGGGCCGCTGGATATGCATGCAGAGCAGTTCTCAAGGCACTTTCCACAGCTTCCCCAGTGCCTCCCCGTCTAGCGGCTGTGGGTCCAAGTGATGAGGGTTTGGCAGCCGCATCCCAGGGATTCCCACATGTGCATGCATATCAATGGGCGTCTGCGATAAGCAACTTATGCTTACTGAAATATGGAGAAAAGTCACTTTACAAACCCATGTAAACTACAGTGGAACTCCTTAAAAAAGTGATTTAAAAATAAAAAGACAATACTTTAATGTTATATATATTTTTTAAGCGACTTACATTTAGTTAAAGAGTAATATAAGCCGAATATTATTGTAATATTAAAAAGTGTCTCCTTGTTATTAAAAAAAATATTATTTAATAAAAATATTACACCATATGCATTTCAAAATATGGTGTTGTAAGAAAATAATTTTGTTCGAAAACTTGTGCTTTCCTATCAAGTTCCGACTGTATATTGGAGTTTGGGGCGAACTACAGCCAGGATGCCAAGGATATTCAATTAGGCTGCTCGATAGGTGGGCCGTATGTACCTGCAAATCGATGCGAGGGAGCAAAGTTTGCTGCTACTCCGGCCAAACCGAAGCAAGCGCAAACTGGCAACATAAACCAGATGTTGCGGTCGATGGCCATTATGGAACTTGTCAATGCCAGTTGGCCAGAAGCAGCGGGAAGGGGCCAGTCATCCAAGGCAATTACACAGCGACGACAAGGACACCGAAGGCAGTTGCCACAATAACACACACTCTCCCCGCTGTGCGTGAGGTTACTTAATGCTGTTTACTGGCCAAAGTTCGTCCTGGCCATTGGCCACCGGCCGGAACTTGCTTGAGCCCGGGACTTGGCCACAATATTATTTGCACTGGCTGGGTTTTATTCTCGCCATAACCATTGCTCCCCGGCAAATGGCCCATTGGGGCATTTATGGCCAAGTTGCATGCGTCCTGGGCTCTGTTCACCGCCATTTTCATTCAATTGCTATATCTGTTGGCTTATCGGTGTGGTGGTCTTTAATTAAAAATACTCCCTTAAGCTAGTAATGTTACATTTAGCTTTGAGTAAAAAAATAGAAACAATAACTCACCTGTATCTTTTCAACATTACGTTTTTATAATGCAAGTTGAAAGAGAAAAACTTAAAAATTAAATGAACATAGTTGAACAACATATCTGAAACATTTTTAAAGGTATATACCTAGGGTAGCATTTATTTTTAAATTTGTTGAATCACAATTTTCAGTTTGTTTTATTGATATTTATTTATATAAACAGTACCTATTTCAAAGTTTTTCTGTGCTAATCAATGTTAAATGTTGTTTATATTGAAAACAACTTTTATGAGTTAGACAACAAAAGTTATGACTACGCTTATATATTTGTTATTATTATTTTTCATATAAAAAATAATAAATTCGGCTTAATAAAGCACACTGTGTATTTAACCAATATTCACCTTATTTTTTTGGTGAAAATTTGTTTCGTTAACCCGTCCCCTGTCGGGAAAGCGTTGCTGCCGGAAAACCTTGAAATCCCCTGCCGGGAGTATTCACTGTGTGGGGCATTTGATCAGCCATCAGCGGGCCATTGTTGCGGCTCGTTGCTGCCACTTAACGTACTTGCCGCACTTTCGCCTCGCTCTCCACCTGTTTTTCTTGCACTGACCTCTGACCACTGGCGGCGGATGCAGGGGATGGCTTCGATGGCTTCTATAGGAGCCAGCGTGGGAGTTTTAATTGACCAAACTGCCACTGCACCTGGGGGATCAATTGAGATTTATTGTTCGGTCGTGTCAGTTGTGTTTGGATTTTACTCTGCGACTGCCCTCTGCGCAGTGCCAAGCAATTATCCTGCTGCCAATGGTAAGCAATTAGACAGTTATTTAATTTGCAGCGGGAATTTCCATCTGGCACTTCTGATTCGCCCACTGACCGACCCGGGCTCGTTAAGCATTTTGGGCAAACAGACCGACAGCTGCGGTAAACTTTGGCCAGCAGAAAATGCCGGCTAATGTCATTTGCAATTCAATGCGAATATGCCCTAATTACAAACGAAAAGTGGAGAAGCTGCCAGCAACTTTTTGCCACCACAATTTTCCTTCAGAATGATGAGCAGGAATTTTGTAAGCCAAATATTTGTATCGAAACTGGGACTCCCCCAAATAATTTGTAGCTGCGATTTTCCCAGATTAAATTCGTGTTGGCCCCGGTTTAATGACATTTTGAGCGTCTTAATGACTTAATGGTCTTTCGGTCGTCAAAACGCTTTTGCCGCATCATTGGCAATGCAATTAACTCGAGCATTTGCTGGTTGCCGGTTTTTTGTGTGCCAAGTGTCCTGTGGTAATTAGTTGGCAACTTTCGCGCTGCCTTTTCCGTTTGTCTGCGGGAGTCCTGTAATGGTTTTTAGCCTCCGACTGCGCGCGAAAATTCATTAAAACTCGATAATTGCATGACAAGACAAGATCCCAGAACTTGGCCATCGAGTGCGAATCCTTGTTTACTCCTTGGCTCAGTATCTGGCAAATGGCGTGAAAAAGCAATTGATTTACTTGCAATTGATAATTGTTTGTTGTTCGGTGCACTGAGAGATCTATAGTTAGGTATAATTAAAAATTGGCTTAAAAAATTAATATTGAAGTTTTCATTTTCCTTTACGTTTTGATGCTTTGAATCGTTTCAACTATTGTTAAATATTGAAGTAAACTGTTAACAAATGTGATTTCCTGATTGAAAACTATTAAAACAATTCTGTTACTGTAAAGAATAAATGTTGAAAGTCTTAGCTCTGAATAAAGGTTAAAATGTACTTGTGTGTTACTAAGACAATGATAGTGATTATAATTTATAAGCTTGAAAACTCGAGTGAAACAATGCAAAATAAATTGAAATAGCTCTTTTGTTTGTTGCATCTTTTACATTTGAATACTATTCAAATCTAAGCAACTGACTTATCGAAAACAACTTACATATTATCTTTCCTAAAGCTGCGACCAAGTCAGGAGCACGTTTGTACTTTCATTTGCGCCCAGGCAAAATATTACTTATTAGCCTTCGGCTTGTCAGTAACGAATCGAAGTAGCAGAAATGTAATTTCAGCCTGCGGTTGTAGGACGGCAAATTGAATTTTGCTGTAGAGGCGGCCCTTCCTGAAGGCAGGATAAACATGCTAAACGTATAAATTTTCAGCCTGATTGCATTCCAAACTTTGGGTGGGCCAGGGAAGCTATGCCAGAAATTATACACAAAAGATAATGCTGCTGCACAATTGGATTTCCAGCTGAGCAGGGAGAATGCAGCACACAAACATTCATTTTCCACTCGACTTGAGCTGAGCGCGTTTCGCATTTCAGCAAAATTTCAATGCGACAGACAACAGAGACCCAGACAGCATTGTTACGCTTTTGGCCAGGACCTTAACTTGAACGTTCAATGAGTGACATTTATCCTGCGAGGCAACCAGGCAGCATTGTTGGGGCATTCATTTGCGTAATTAGTGGCCAAGTGGCATCCGCAGCCTGGTTGCCAGTTGGCATTTAGCTCCGGCCGCAGCACAAGTGCTTTGAAATCACCGCATCTGCTGCTTGATTATTGGCCGAAAGGAAAAGGAAAAGGCCAGCAGACAGCGGACGTCAGCACAATTGATAGCATACTTCTCCGGGCAGAAGCAGGTGAAGTGGAGAACGATTGAGATCCTGGTCGCTCTATTGCAGTTCTTACCCCACTCCCTAGCCGCAATTAAGCTTTTCCTACTAGAAATAGTTGCTGTAATGATTTTTTGTAAAGTGAAATAGTTAACAAATTTAAAAAAAAAACAATTCTACAAATAAAACATTATTTGTTTAAATAGTCAACTAAAATGTTGATTTAAGCTTTGATTTAGTTAATAAGCTTGTCTTTTTTTATTAAATTATATTGCATTCTTATATAATTTGTAAAGTTTTTGTTAGTTTAATTTAAGCTTCTTTGTTTCAAATTGTTATTTGGTAGTACGTTTATAAGCTTCAATACAAACTTATAGAGCACAAATTAAAATAGTTTTCAGAAAAAGCGAGGTGCTTGACACTACCTCCCCTTCATTACTTAATTCGGTTCTATGGTCTCGGAATAAAATTGTAATTGATTTGCTGTGATTGATTCACTGCCAGAGCAAAAAACTTATCTGGCGGCATTAGGGAAGTATAATTAAATTAGTTTTAAACTGGAGAGTAACTTAATCAACGTGGCAAGCAAGCGGAAAACTTCATTTGTAGCTACCTGCTCGATGATGAGGAGGGAGACGGGAGAAGAGGTGGGAAAAAGGAAAGCTACGTGAGAGTTACAAGGGCACGCACACCAGCACACGGAAAAGCGAAAGCGACAAGAGTGAGGAAAAGCGGAAAAGAGGAAAAACAGCAACAGCAACTAAGCAAAACATGGGCCAAACCAAAACAAAAACACACGATTTGCCGGCAAAATGCACGTGACATCCTTAGAGGAGTTTCGTCGGGTAAGATCCTTCGTCGAGTGCCGAATGCAACTCAACGAAGAGCAACCGAAGCTGCGCAGAATCCAACGAGCGGTATAAAAGCGAGACGCTCGCAGAACTCGGAGCATTTGATTGTCGTCACTCGCAAGGAGAGGTTCCCAACTTGAAACCAGTGCAAAACCGCTAAGGACTGAAAATAAAAGTGAAACTTTAAAGCCAAAAACCACACACACGCACACACACATTGCATACAGTCCTGTGCGAGTGTGGGTGACTGTTTGGCAGTGTTGAGAACTCGTGTTTGTGTGACTTGGCCAAGTGGATTTCTATTTTTTGCTCCATTGAAAGCCAGCTCGTGAAGTGCAGTGATATTATATATATTTTACTGGCGAACACTTTCCAAATCTCGAACAAAATAAACGCCGAAACTCTGGCAATTGCATTCTGATCCTTGGACATGTGGAGCAGGCAGCGTATGCGCCATAAGCCGCTTTGGGCCCTAATATCCTTGACCGTTTTGCTGCTGGTCTTGGACAAAAGCAATGCCAACACGGAGCCCGTTGAGACCAGCACCACATCCGAGCCAGGTGAGTTCTAATTGCTCTGACCACGTGTGCTTCCGTTTGACCTTCGCTCGCTGGGCTCGCAAAAATAGTAAATAAATTATGACGCGGCTCAAACTCAAACTCGGCCACCCCGATGGCCAGGCACTTTATTAAATGGCTTTCCATGCCTTCGCCGCGATTATCACACACGCACAGAGCCGTGAAACAAAATAAATCCGAAAGAAAAGCAGAACCGGAGTAGAAGTGAAGGCGAGCCAGGAAGGGAAACTGCAGAGCGCAAGAGCAAATAACTGGCAGCAAATGAAATATTTCACGGCATCTGCGGCACAAAGGCAATCAAAGCGGGCCGAAAACCCGTGGGCAACCTTAATCCCAATCAGAATCAACAAACAAGCAAGGGCACCGCCAAAAAGGGCCACTGAGGGAAAAGCCTTTTCAAAAAATCATCACTCAAATTATGTTTCTCATGTGTTTCAATTCTGAAAATGTAACTGCGCGAAATGTTTTCTTTAAAGAAACAATTTAAACAGAAAAATGATGAAAAAATAGGAGAACGTTTTAACTTTAAATAAGTTTTGATCATTTTTGTACTGGTGAACATGAGCTATCCAATTTGGCTTTTGAGTTTTTATTTTTTATGTTAACTATTAGAATGTGTCACGTATAGAGCAACTTATTTCAATTACTGCAAACAATTTGATGGATAGATAAAAAATAGTTTTTTAAAAACCCAATTTTTTTTGGAAAAGTGATTTATATTCGGGTAAAATATTTTTATTAAGAGTACATTTTCAATCATCTCATCACAGCGAGGCATGCTGGTTTTCGAGGTGAAACTTCGGAAACCTAACATTTTTTCAGTGCAAACAAAAAAACGTAGAACAAATGAAAAGGTAGCTCGGGCAAAGGCAATTGCACGAAAGCTCGTAATGAAGTATGGCAGGCCGTCTGAGGCTGGTAATAGAAATTAATAGCGTCATGTGTGAGTTTTGCAAAGGGGAAGGAAAAAAGTGGGCAGGGAAGTGGCAGGATGTGGGGAAAGGAAAGGGGAGGAGGTGTAAAGTGCCCGAGAACGACACGCAGATGCGCATAAAGTAATTAATTCACTTCGCCTCCATCGCCATCCCTTCGGCGTCCTTCTAATTTCCCCTAGCATATCGACAGAGCCAGCTGTTGAGCTTTGGGGGTTTGGCCTTCAGGGGGCTTAAAGGACGACGCAGTTTTTTTTCGTTATTTTGCCATATATTGCGACTTCTTTTTTGGCTGTAGGTCCACTTCTGTTGCGCAGTTTTTGGCAGTCAGGTGAGAGGGATGTCAAAAAAGGGGTAACCTTGGCAAAAGCCTGCAGTTTCAATTTACAGCGGTTCAAACATTTGCACGACACAAATAAAAGCGAATGGAATTTAATTTACATGACTCACAAATGGAATCCATTTAATGTTGACTTATGGCGAAAAAGCGAGGCACAGAGAACACTGATGAAATATGCAATAACCGAAGTCGCAACTAAAACTGACAGACCAACAGGACTCCCTTTCGCCCATTTCCCATGTCCTGTCCCATAAATCCTGAGCCACCAAGATGGATGATGACATTGCACATCCACACTGGTGCACACACTTAAAAACATTTATTCCAAACTAATATTGTTCGCTAAAATTAATAAATGATTGATACCATATTAATAAAAAAGTAGAATTTAAAAAATGCTAATGCTATTAAGACTTGAAAAGATTTCGTAGGAACAGTATGTTTTAAAGTATATGCCTTTAAATTGGTTTCAATTAAACAATTAATATTAATAAAATTATGTTCAGTCTAAAAATTATTTTAAAATGAAAAAAGGAGTAAGAAATTTGAAAGACTCCACAAACTTTTCAGTGCACTCGCTCGTGAGTTTCGCAGGCCCATGGTCACATGACTCTTTGCCACATTTTATGTGCTTAGAACAAAGCTGAATCTGCATTATGCATGCAAATGGTATAACTGAGTAACGAACTGTCAAAATCGCAGTTAAAGCAAAAAGTCAGTGTGAAAGACGCCTGCTCGGAAACCGAAGAAGAAAAACCCAATGACAAAAAGTCGCCAGCGCATTATGCATTCGCATTCCTCTATAGAGTATGTGTGCTAAAAGACAGAGATTACTTGACTTTTCCCGGGCTTCCTCAAAAATAAGAAGAGGAAATGACAGAGGACACCCACTGTGTGGGAAATGGGAGTTGCAATGGAAATAGCTACAGGAATAGGAGAAGGAATAAAGAGAATGTTCTTGCCCGCCAGTGCATGAATGATTTATAGGACGGCAGCTGTCGAGATGCCAACGATTATCGGCCATAAGCCAGTCACAGGGACATTTTTACACCCCAGACTCCAGAATAGAAAGCAGTTTTTGGATACGAGCATTTTACATCGCAGTTTATGGTTATCAGAGTTCCTGGAATAAATCCTTTCGCTTAAAGCTGAGTCACTTTCTTCTCACAAGCTTCACATGAATTTTGTTCTGGGTTCGCAGAGTTATTCCTTCTTGGAAAACAATGCTCTTGGGATCGATGAGTGGGAGAATCTGGAACTGCTTCAGAATGGCCACCATCAGCGTTTTCATCTCCTGCATGGCGTACTTTTGACCTACAATACAAAGATGGTATTAGCCCCTTTGGAGTATAAACTGAGATTACCTACCAATACAATTTCTCTGACCAGCACTGAAAGGAATATAGGCATAAGTGTGACGATTCTGGGAATTTTCAGGCAGGAATCTCTCCGGTCGGAACTCTTCCGGGGAATCCCAGTACTTGGGGTTGCGATGAATGTCAAAGACATGAATCACGATCTGAGAGTCCTTTGGCATAATTAGACCATTGGCCAACTCCGTTTCCCGACTGGTTTCTCTTCCCATATCGGGAACGGAGGGAAATAGGCGCATGGTTTCTTTGAAGAAGTATTCCAGGTATTTAAGCTTGCTCAAGCCACTGATGTCCAAGTTGACCAACTCATCTGAAAGAGTTTGGGTCTTGAAAAAGTTCTTACTTATCTCACATCTCAACAAACCGTCTATGTGCTCCTGGATCTCCTGGAAGCATTTCTCTTGCTTGTCGGGATACAAGGACATGTTCATGAGACCAAATATTAGACCTATTGACGTGGTATCGTAGCCTTCGAACATCAGAGTGTCCACTTCCTCACAAATGCCAATGTGATCAATTAGGCCATCCTTCTCAGCGCAAATCAGGGTGTCCAACATGGCGAATCGCTTCTTCGTAAGGAATCTTTAGAAAATACATTAATAACGAATAAAAATAAATTTAATATGATCCTACACATCATCGTCAGCCGACTGAGTGGCTCGTCTTTTATCCAGCTCATCCTCCAGCAAAACTCTCCGCTTCGCAATGATCTCGCTTGAAAATCCATGGACCACATCGAGGGCAGCTGCATAATCCTTGGCTGCAAACAAGTTGAACAGAGTGTCTCCCCACAAAAGCGGGTTACTCAAACGACGGATGAAACATTCTTCTATTTGGCTAAAGTTCTCCCGGTAACGATCTCCCTTCTCGGCCATCTCATCCAATTTGACACCCATGGCGGTCTCTTTAGATTAAAAATTTAAATTTGTCAGATAGAGGGTTAAATATTTGTATGATATATTCAACCCACCGCAAATGCTGTTCAGGGTAAATCTGGGTATGACCTCGTTCAATGAAATAGTTGCCTCGTTTTGGCCCTTGAATTTGTCTAAGAACTTCAGACTCTCCGCTCTAAGGAGTTAAATTTAAATGATTTTAAGCATGATTTTTGTTTTGTTGATTAAACTCACTTGAATATCTCCTGAAACTGGTTCAAAATATTGAAATGGAATGTAGGGGTAAGCATCTTGCGTCGTGCATGCCATTTCTTTCCTGAAATATTCATTAACACAGAAGAACGCAAAGCGAATCAAAGCCGAACCTACCAGTAGATGTCAACAATCCAGTTTTCAAAAATGGGTGCAGGAAATTGTATACTATTCCCTTGTTAATCAGATTGGGATCGTTAAGCACAGCCTCTGCATTTTCAGCATCGATAATGTTATAAATGGCCGTACCCATCCCATATTCAAAATAGCTCTCTTTCATTTGTTTTGCCAGGTCACGAGAGTGATTAAACACACCCGCTGGGAGAACAATTAAATTAATAACAGAGAGATAGAACACAGCAATTATAGATAAGCTAAATTAAGACAATATGTGATTAAAACTCACTGTGATCTTTGCCGTACAAGTCGAAACTGTTGCCAAATATGGTGTTTCCCTTGACCATTGGAGCTATACTTTCCACAGGCTTTCCATCGCTGGTTCGAATTCTTTTCGCGAAGAAGGCAAGGACACAGTAATCCTTGTTAAGATTGAAGAGCCAGTAAAGAAGGACACTTAAAAATCCGACCAGCATCAAGAACAGCATTTTCTAAGAACCGCATCCACCGACTTCTCTCGCGAAACTGATCACTGCGATCACACTCAGCCGGTTTTAGAAACAAACATTACCGGTATAAAAGCAAAACTGATTAGATTGTTTATTGTGTACATTTGTGTGTTTGCTTGAGTGAACTTTTGCCCGAGTTCACAAAAGAATTATTTTGTCTGCGGTTTATACTTTTAATAGATGCACTAAAACAAGTTATATTTGACTATATCATTGACCAGTTTATTATTAGGTGACTAATACACCTTGCACTGCGGAAAAAGGTTATAAGTTCTGTGTTATTTTATTTAAGCTTATACACAATTCTTTTGGTTTGGGAAAATTTAATTAAGTAGCGTATTTAAAATATACAAAATTTACAAGGCAATTCTTCCGTTTGAATACACATTTATATAATTAAGAAGTTGAACTACTTTCGCCTTGCAAGCTTTACGTTTATCTTGTTTTGGGTGCGCAGAGTAATACCCGTATTGAAGACAATATCTTTGGGATCAATTGCTGGTAGAATCTTAAACTGCTTTAGAACGGCCACCATTAGCGTTTTCATTTCCTGCATGGCATACTTTTGACCTATGAATAGTAAAAGATTTCTAAATAAACTAAAACACAAATGAAAAGTAGTTGTTCCTTACCAATACAATTCCTCTGACCAGCACTGAAAGGAATATAGGCATAAGTGTGACGGTCCTGGGAGTTCTCGGGTAGGAATCTCTCCGGGCGGAACTCTTCTGGGGAATCCCAGTACTTTGCATTGCGATGGATGTCGAAGACATGAACGGTTATTTGGGAACCCTTGGGCAGGATCAGACCATTGGCCAGCTCCGTCTCCTTAATGGTTTGACGACCCATAATGGGAACCGAGGGGTAAAGTCGCATGGTTTCCTTCATAAAGTATTCCAGGTACTTCAGTTTACTCAATTGACCCACGTCCAAGTTGGATAGGTCATCTAAAAATTTGTAATAGTTAGGGTTTTCTTGTTGAAAGCATATTTTTACAAACCTTCTATGTGCTCCTGAATTTCCTGGAAGCATTTCTCTTGCTTGTCGGGATACAAGGACATGTTCATGAGACCAAATATTAGACCAATTGAGGTGGTATCGTAGCCCTCGAACATCAGAGTGTCCACCTCCTCACAAATGCCAATGTGATCGATTAGGCCATCCTTCTCAGCGCAAATCAGGGTGTCCAACATGGCGAACCGTTTCTTGGTGATGAACCTTGAGAAAATAATTCATATATGTTTAATAACCATTGAAAAGGAATTATTTATGATCCTACACATCATCGTCTGCGGTCCTGGTTGCTCTTCGGTTATCGAGCTCATCCTCCAGCAAAACTCTCCGCTTCGCAATGATCTCGCTTGAAAATCCATGGACCACATCGAGGGCAGCTGCATAATCCTTGGCTGCAAACAAGTTGAACAGAGTGTCTCCCCACAAAAGCGGGTTACTCAAACGACGGATGAAACATTCTTCTATTTGGCTAAAGTTCTCCCGGTAACGATCTCCCTTCTCGGCCATCTCATCCAATTTAACACCCATGGCGGTCTCTTTAGATATGGTTAGTAATTTTATGTTGATTGTTAAAGTGAGTCATTTTAATACACATAAGATATGGAACCCACCACAAATGCTGTTCAGGGTAAACCTTGGTATAACATCGTTTAAACATATTGTCAACTCATCGTGACCGTGAAATTTTTGTAGAAATTTAAGGCTTTCCGTCCTAAAACCCAAACACTTGATAAGTTTGTTGTTAATTTTTTGGGGGAATTGGTGGAACTCACTTGAAAATTTCCTGGAACTGATTAAGTATGTTGAAATGGAAAGTAGGGGTTAGCATCTTGCGACGTGCGTGCCATTTCTTTTCTGTAATTTATGCAAGTTTAGAAAACTATAAATGCAGTCTAAGACTTAAACTCACCAGTTGATGTCAACAAGCCAGTTCTCAAAAATGGATGCAAGAAGTTGTAGACCAATCCCTTAGTAATCAGATTCGGGTGGTTAAGTACATTTTCAGCATTATCCGCATCGATGATGTTAAAAATAGCAGTGCCAACCCCGTACTCAATGTAACTAGCACCCATTGATTTGGCGCGATCACGCGAGTGTTGAAAAACACCAGCTATATTGTTTAATACGTGTATTAAGATAATTTGTTACATATATGAACTAATTGGAGTCAAAGTTCGGCAATTACTCACCGTGATCTTTGCCGTACAAGTCAAAGTTGTGAGCAAATATAGTTTTGCCCTTTGGAATGGGTGCAATGCTCTCTACGGGTCTCCCATCCTTGGTTTTAACTCTCTTGCAGAAGAAGGAAAGAATATAGTAATCCTTGTTGATCTTGTAGAGCCAGTGCAGCAGCACACTCAAGGCAACAACCAGCCAAAAAACTATCATTGTGAGTCAACCGCGTCCACGAAATTCTCCCACCAAACTGACCACACCGATCGCTGTATTTTGTATTCATTCTCGACGAGCTTTTACTATCAGCCGGTTTTATAGGCAACTATTACAACTCAAAACACAAAAAAAATTAGATTGCAACTGGTGTACACTTATTACCGCTCTGCTAGCAGCGATTTGTGAACGAATTCCCATATAAATGTATAGGGATTGTTTTAATAATTGCACCAAACAACGCATCATTTGATTATACAAAAAACCGGTTTATCTGTGGGGCGTATTGTAATTTTTATCTTCACCTACAAATTTAAAAAACATTTTAAAACAGTTTCCTTTATGCATATTAGGTTTTAAAACATATAAATAGAAATTAAAAATCGCGTATTGACATATTTATTGCTTGGTTATAAAAAAGATGACTAGCATTGAAAATTCAGGGTCAACTAGTCGTGTATTATTAACGTAGCACTTAAATCAAATTGGCACTTAGAGAAGATGTATGTACGTAATCGATACACACTATTTCCGCCTCGCAAGCCTGACTTGTATTTTGTTCTTGAAGCGCAGGGTTATACCCATTTGGAAGACAATGGACTTTGGATCGATAACGGGCAGGATCTTGAACTGCTTGAGGATGACCACTATCAGGGTTTTCATCTCCTGCATGGCGTACTTTTGACCTATGTTGATTGTTAAGAGATTAGCTGAGGAAGCATGAATCTGCAATTATTTTTACAAACCTATGCAATTTCTTTGTCCAGCACTGAATGGAATGTAGGCGTAGGGATGCCGATTCTGGCAGTTCTCTGGCAGGAATCTCTCTGGTCGAAATTCTTCTGGGGAATCCCAGTACTTGGGACTGCGATGGATGTCGAAGACATGTATGTTGATCTGACAACGTTTGGGCAGGATTAATCCGTTTTCTAGCTCAGTTTCTTCAATAGTCTGACGACCCATGATGGGAATAGAAGGATACAGACGCATGGTTTCCCTCAAGAAGTTGTGAATGTGGCGTAGTTTATTCAGTTGACTAAGGTCCAGGTTGCTTAGGTCATCTAAAATAGCTCAGAAATCAGAGTCCACGATTTCAAGGACTATATTTGTGATAGAAACTACCTTCAATATGCTGTTGGATTTCTTGGTAGCAGAGTTCCTGCTGTTCAGCATAAACAGACATGTTCAGAAGGGCAAATACAAGACCAATGGAGGTTGTTTCGAATCCTTCGGCCATCAAGGTGTCCACCTCCTCACAGACACCACTTCTGTCAATCAGACCATCCTTCTCAGCACAAATCAAGGTGTCCAGCATGGCAAATCGTTTTTTTCTTGAGACACATCTTTTATAGAGAAAACAAAGCTTATCAGTTTGGGAATATTATTTCATAACAAACTTACATATCATCGTCAGCCGTTTGGGTAGCACGTCGGTATTCCAGTTCTTCCTCCAGAAGAATTCTACGCTTGGCAATAATCTCGCTGGAAAACTCATGAACCATTTTCAGGGCCAAAGCATAATCCCGCGCTGCAAACAGGTTATATACGCAATCGTCCCAATAGAAGGGATTGCTTAGCCGCCTGGTAAAACCTTCGTCGATTCTTTGGAAATTCTCTCGGTAGCGATCACCCTTCTCTGCCATTTCGTCGAGTTTAATGCCCATGGCAGTTTCTATAAATGAAAGGCTTAATTAAACTTAATTGTTTTTGTTATAAACAATTGATATTCAAGTACCACAAATGCTGTTCAGGGTGAATCTGGCTATGTGGTCTTTTAAGGAGATAACGCATTCATTTTGATCATCGAACTGCTTAACGAACTTGAGACTCTCTGCTCTAAATATGGGAAATAAAGAAAATTATTTCTATTTACTATTATGTTGGTAAGCACTCACATAAAGATCTCTTGAAACTGGTTTAGTATATCCAAATGGAAAGTCCTGGCCAGCATTCCTCGTCTTGAGTGCCATTTTTTCTCTGCAATAAAACATATTAGAATTTGACGTTTCTCCTAAAGGTTTCGCTTTTACCTGATGCTGTCAATACGCCGGTTCTTATGAATGGATGGAGGAAATTGTATATCGCACTCTTCGTTATCAGATTCGGGTGGTTGAGTACGTTTGCCGCATTGTGGGCATCTATAACGTTGTAGTTGGAATATCCCATGGCATAAAGAAGGTAGCTCTGTCCGAACGACTTTGCCAAGTGGCGAAAGTAGCCAAACACTTCGGCTGAAGTAGTCATTAAAGCAGAGAAGTAGAAGCCATAAAAACCAAGATAAGAAGTCCTAGGTCAAGGTTCACCAATTACTCACCAGCGTTTTTTCCATAAAAATCAAAGCAGTTGGCAAAGAAGGTGGTTCCCTTTGGCATGGGAACCAAGCTCTCCAGAGGTCTCCCATCCTTGGTCCGAACTCTCCTGGCGAAAAAGGCCAGAATGCAGTAGTCTTTGTTTACCTTATACAGCCAGTGCGCAATCACACTTATCGCGACACAGAGCCAAAGAACCCAAATCATTTTCGTCGAACTTGATCCGATGGATCCACTCTGAGTACTGTTTGTGTTTTCGGCTCTCAGCTGTCGTTCCACGCGAGTTGTCTCCTATCAACCGGCCAAACAACAAATAATACCCGACTATAACTGATTAGATTTGGCTCTAGAAACATATATTTCTTTTTGTTTGTATGTTGTTTCTCTCAGCTGAGCCAGATTCTAGTTCACGTTCACCCAGTGAGTTTAATTTGCGATAGAAAATAATAATCGATAGCTAAATATGGTTGATCAAGTTATCAACAAACTTAAGATTAAGTTTCTTAAAAATGTATTATAGTTATATTAATACTGAGAACTATTTGAATCTTTGATAGAAACAGCTGAAGGTTTCCACTAACTTTACTACAATTAAATAAGACATTTAAAATTATAAAAGTAATACAACCGAATGAGCATAATTATTTCAATAAACACTAGATGCGTTTCCGCCTCACAAACTTGACATTTATTTGGTTTTTAAAGCTCAGGGTCGCACCAGCTTGAAAATCAATAGACTTTGGATCTGTTAATGGCAAGATCTTGAATTGCTTGAGAATTACCACTAAAAGTGTTTTTACCTCCTGCATGGCGAATTTTTGACCTACAAAAATAAGATCAGAAATAGAATTTTCAAAACATACCGACTTACCAATACAGTTTCGTGGACCAGCACTGAATGGAATATAGGCGTATGGATGTCGATTTTGGCAATTCTCCGGCAGGAATCTTTCCGGTCGAAACTCGAGAGGGGAATCCCAGTATTTGGGGTTGCGATGCATGTCAAAGACGTGTATGTTTATCTGGGATCGCTTCGGTAGGATTAACCCATTATCTAATTCGGTTTCTTCGATTGTCTGTCGACCAATCAAAGGAATAGGGGGATAAAGACGCATGGATTCCTTCACGAAGCAATGAAGATGGCTCAGCTTATTCAATTGACCGATGTTAAGGTTGCTTAAATCATCTGAAAGGTTTAAGAAATCAGTACATAATATTAAAAGACTACAACCATGGTCTTAAATACCGTCAATGTGCTTCTGTATCTTCTGGAAGCAAAGTTCCTGGTGTTCAGGGTAAAGGGACATATTCAAGAGCGCAAATATAAGGCTGATGGAGGTGGTTTCGAAACCCTCAGCCATCAGAGTGTCCACCTCCTCGCAAATGCCAATATTGTCTATGAGTCCATCTTTTTCAGCGCAAATCAAGGTATCCAGCATGGCAAATGGTTTATGTCTAACGACGCATCTGTTTTACAAAGAGAGAAATTTAAGATGGGAGTCTACGTAAAGTGCAAGTTAACTCACATATCATCTTCAGCCGTTTGAGTGGCACGTCGATAATGTAATTCCTCCTCCAAAAGAATTCTACGCCTGGCAATTATTTCGTTGGAAAATTCGTGAACCACTTTAATAGCATTGGCATAATCTTTAGCTGCAAAAATGTTGTATACACAATCGCCCCAGAAAAGGGGATTGCTTATTCTTCTTATGAATCCTTCAACAATTATTTTGAAATTCTCTCTGTAGCGATCACCCTCCTCGGCCAGTTCATCTAGCTTAACGCCCATTGCAGTTTCTGTTAAGGAAAGAATACATGATTAGGTATCAATTATCAACAAGATTGCTTACTCACTTACCACAAATGTTGTTCAGAGTGAAAGTAGCTATTCGGTCTCTCAACGAAACAATGCACTCGTTTTGATCTTCGAATTGGTGAACGAACTTTAAGCTCTCCGCTCTAAATTGATTGCATAAATTAATAAATAAACAATCAAAATAAGACTAACATTACCATGATAAAAGGCACTTACACGAAGATGTTTTGAAACTGGTTTAATATATCGAAGTGGAAAGTCCTTGCGAGCATACCTCGCCGTGAGTGCCACTTTCCTTGTGGCGCCGTTAAAACTCCAGTTCTTATAAATGGGTGAAGGAAATCGTACGCCATGCTCTTGGTAACCAGGTTCGGATCACTCAGCACGTTTCCGGCATTATGTGCATCGATAACATGGAAGTCGGCGAAACCCAAGCTGTAAGAAACATAGCTCTCTTTAAATTTCGTTCCCAGCTCGCGCAAGAAACGGAAAACTTCAACTGAAAAGGGTAATAAAACAGAGAAATCAGAGTAATGTTAGGCAATGTAACCCAAAGTCAAGAAACATAGCTCTCTTTAAATTTCGTTCCCAGCTCGCGCAAGAAACGGAAAACTTCAACTGAAAAGGGTAATAAAACAGAGAAATCAGAGTAATGTTAGGCAATGTAACCCAAAGTCAAGGTTCACGAATTTCTCACCGGAGTTTTTTCCAAATAGATCAAAACAGTTGGGGAATATAGTAGCACCCTTGGGAATGGGAACTACGCTCTCCAACGGCTTTCCATTCTTAGTTCGGATTCTCCTCGCGAAGAAGGCGAGAATGCAGTAATCTTTGTTGACTTTGTACAGCCAGTGCAAGACCACGCTTATGGAAACTGAAATCCACAGAAGCCAAATCATCGCCTCCGAACTGGATCGCTCGAACTCACTCTCAGCACTGTTTTTGGTTTTTGGTTTTGGGTTTTTAGTTGTAGGGTTTTGCTCACCTGAGTTCCTGATTAGCTCTCAACCGGTTTCTCTTTGAGCCATAAACAGTGACTTTGATTGTGTTTGTCTACTTTTTGTTAAGTAGTTGGCACCGAATTTTATCGAGCCATCAAATTACTAGTAATAGCCCAAGTTGAAATGATATCTTCCCTTTGTTGTAACTTTTTTGTACTGGCTTAGGTTAAGGTTTGATTATAATCATGGTATAGCGGTAAAACACCCTTTTTATTGATTTTTTCTTAGAAGCTTTTATAACTAATGGTTTACAGCTCGATTCCCACATTAACCACAATGGACTTCAAAACCTTAAGCCGTTTCAATATTTTTCAACGTGTATTAATTTTTGACGTGTATTAAAAAGTAAATGCATAAAAATAATTTTACCAATACATGAATTAAATGGCATAAAGCTTAGGAATTCCGATTATTAAACTTTCACGGGATGAGCAAATAGTTCATCTATCTGACACATATTTGCTTAATTTTTATTTGTTGAAAATAAAGGTTTAGGAATTCTATAATTTTGTATGCACAAATGTAGGTATTTTTATCAATTTACTTATATAATTACTTTAAAAGATATAACGATAAAAAAACTTCTTTTTAAATGTACCGAAGCTAGATAAAAACTTGAGCTATAAGAACAATATTTGTTTTTTGTTGTCGTCGCTTTTAATCAACTAAGTGGCAATGCCCGATGGTCATGGCACATTTTTGCCATGGAACTTTGTTGCATTTGCATCGACTAATTGGCGATTGAATTTCATCAATTACAAGGAATGCTGTGATTCCATTCACCAGCGCTCTAGTATACCACTCGACCTACTTTCTGACAAAGTACATGACACATTACGGAATAAAAGAAAAGTCGAAAGGGAGAGTAGAGCTGGCAAAACTTTAATTTCCCCCTTTGGCGATTTCGAACAACCGACTAGAGATGGAAATGGCGGAAAATGCTGCCGCGACTTTTTCCTCCTCTGAAACTGCTTGAAATCTTGATTCTCGATTTCGACTCCGTTTCTGCTCGAGTTCCTCCTGCCTTCACCTTCCACCTCTCATGTAAAATTGAAACTTGAACTGTGCGTTTGTGCCACGACCTTCCTGCCTTCCTGGCTTCGTACCGCCCATTCCGCCCCCTGATTACTTGCCTGCATGCCAAATGCATATTGGAAATTTGCAATTTCGATGGCACTCAAAGTCTGGCGTCGTCAAGTGGAAAGTTCTTCCCAGCCAGGCCAAGTTATTAAATTAGATCACATATGAAATATTTATGGCAAGAGTTCCTGGCAGACTTGAAATTGCATTACCTCCAGCCAAGTTAAATCTTTGGGGATAAGTTTGGGTAAACCGTCACTGAGGTAAAAGTCGACTACTAAATCTTGAGTTAACTTCTCATGTTAAGTTGTATTCCCCCTTGGTATTAACACACTGTGTTAAGTGCTTTGAGTTAAATATTGATAAAGTAAAATGTAAAGTTGATGTTTAAATATACTTAATCGAAGATAAATGCAGAACAATTATTCTTGGAAATATTAACAAAAAGGCATTTTACATATTCAAATTAAAATTGCATGTTTTAAGATAGAAAAAATCTAATTTTGATAAAGGGTTTACCAATTTTAACGTAAAATATTGTTCAATTTCTTATTTCTTATACTCTTTTGAAGGGCTTTTTAAGGAAATGTTATTGTCACCGACTTAATAAAATTAAATGGAACTTTGAATTACTCTAATTAAATATGAATACCTTTAAGATTCTAATTTTGAATTAAAATATTTATGGTGATCTTGGAAAATGAAAATATAATAACAAGTTCATTGTTAACAGTACATAAAGTTTTTCCCAGTGCTCTTATTTTCGCTTTTCCATTATCCTTCCACAGATGCCTCGCCGGGCTGCCGGGCGCCGGATGTGCGCTTCACGATTGTCAAGCCGGAAGCGACGACGGAGCAGCCGCTGGCCAAGTTCGAGACCACGCAGGTCTACCTGCCGGAGGACTTCACCACGGCGGATGTGGAGTTCGTGGAGTCGGTGCCGCGGCATCCCAACGAGAACCACGCGGCCGTAATCAATCCGTACTCCCTGGATTTGGGCGATGACCACCTGCACGCTGGCGATGCGGCCGCCAGTTTGGTGGGCGACGATGACCTGGACGAGGAGGACGGGGATCACCATGGCGACCCGGAGGACAAGCGCCTGAATGCCAATCGCAAGCAGGGCAAGAGGCGGCGTGCCGGTTCTGGGCGCAGGCGCAGGATTGAGAACGAAAACGGCCAGACGGGCAGGGGGCGTGGCAGTCGGTACAAGCGACACGCCATCCTCCACGACACGGAAGCCTCTCCCGATACGGATCGCTGGGCAGGCAGCAAACTGGCAGCAGAGGGCGATGTGTATTACGTGCACATAGCCGACATCTTGAAAAGCCGCGAACCCAATAAGGAACTGAAGTCTAAGCTACATAAACTGAAAATGAGGGCCAGACTGAACAAATGCCTGGCGGAGGGAGGAAAGGAGAAGTGCACCAAGCTGCCCAAGAAGAAGTCCAAAAAGAAGGCGCCCACCGAGGAGCAGACCCTCAAGAAGGAGAAGAAGCAGCTAAAAGAGGAGCAGCTGGCGAAGAACAAGAAGCAGTTGCCCGCGGAAGGACCAGCCCCGAAGACCGAGGAAAGGGAGGAGGATCTGGAGCAGCCGGAGGCCGCAGGACATCACCGCCGACGCGGGGACAGTCACGCTGCAGAGCTCGACCAGCGTGACCGGAGCCCGCGTTGGCGTCGCCGCCGCAGCACCGAGTCCAAGGGCGATCTTGGGGTCAAACCAAATCCAGATCCTGACACGGATACGGATGCGGATGCTGCTGTCGATGCGGAACAGGAGGAGCAGCTGCTGCAGAAGTACGGGAATCAGTCGAGCAGTGCACGAGTGGCCCTGTTGTGGCAACGTGTTAAGCGCAAGTCCGGCAAGACCACGGGTGCACTGAGCCGTCCGAAGGGTGGTGGCGACTCCAGCTCGAAGACCACCAGTCGCAAGGACAAGGGTGAGTTTGAGCCCGCTCGGCGGCCAGACACTGGCAATGCCACAGTGGCCAATGCCTATATTGAATTTGCCGTCGCTGTCGCTGTCTCGTTGTCTGTCTGTCCGTCCGTGTCGCGCTGCCCGACCGCACACACTTCCCACGGCGGGAGCGGACTGCCCGCCCCCCAGAATGTCCTTGCAAAGGTTAAAGGTTAAAGGTCGCGAAATAAGAGTATCAGCGGTTGTCTGCTTTTCAATGTTGGCTGTGAGCTACGAACTACAAACTAAAGTTAAACGAGAAGGTTTCGGTTTTGCAACAATGCAATAAAAAATTTTTATTTACATAGCTATACCGGTAGCTTAGAATTTAAATTCTTCTTTTAATAGTTGCCTATTATTCTAAAAAGCATTTTTAATACAAGAAATACAAGTTTGAGTTGTACTTCTATATAAATAATAACGAGAAGTTTATTACTCGCTGTTATCTTCTTATTCCAAAAGATTAAAAATGTTTAGCAATGTTCTACAGGCTTCTTCAAACAATTTTCAACTAAATTTAATAAATGTTAAATATTAAGTTCCCCGCTTCGCTAGTTCAGCTCTCTCGTTTACTACACATTGTCTCTTTTATTATATTTTGCTTCGGAAATATGCATCCATTAAAAAGGAACTCAAAACATGCATATTATAATAAGTATACGCCTCGTTAACAATAAAAAAGCAATCCCCGCTAAGCCCCAACAAAAAGTATACGCCCCGTAAGCCGTAAAAAAGGTATACGCCCTGTAAGCCGTTTGAAAACAAACCTCATACCAACTCCGAATCCCCAGACGGCTGGCTAGTAATTTCAGCGCTTCATCATGCTTTCAAGCTTTATAATGTGGCAACGTTTTGACAATGTCCACCGGCGAATATCGAAACTGCTTTTGCAAGGGCATTTCAAGCAAACACAGCACACATGACTACACACGAACACCCAACACCCAACACCCAACACCCAACACCCAAAACACCCAAAACACCCAAACATTAACGGAAGTTGAGAGCGGAGGACACACCGAACATACTCGTAAAAGCTAATCGCAGTCACAGCCAAAGCCACAGCCATCGCATCGCATCGCATCGGATCCAGCCATATAGCCATATAACCATATATAGTACAGCCACATAGCTCATCCCCCAGCTAAATCACACCTGCACCAGGCACCTGTGCCAGAATTTTCAACCCTCTCTGACGGCTTTTCATTACCCCATTTTCGCCATCGGTGCTGCGTGGTCATGGTTTATTTGCTAGTCCATATCTTTGTCGTGGTTAGAGTTCAGAGTTCCCAGCTCCCAGTTCCCAGCTCCCAGTTTCCAGTTCCCAGTTCCGAGTCAAGAGTTGTCCGTTGCCGGTTGGCCCTTTGTTCTGGCCGGAATGATTTTCCTTTTGGCTCCTTTGTTTGCCTTGAGTTCGGGATCGTTCTTGGGTTCCTGCACCGCCTTTGTCCGCTTTGCCTTTACTGCTTCCCTTCATCCTTTTTTGTTTTTTTTTTGCCTATTTTCTATTAGCCGGCATAATATTATCTTTGGTGTTATCTCTGCCTTTTCACATCCCCCCCCATCACTCTTTATTTTTTAGCTGCCTTTTGATGGGGTTTTGCCGGGAAATGAAGTTGTATCCTGTTAAGTGGCCACTTCGCCAGCCTTCTGGTTTTCTTTTAATGCATATCTAAGCACTTGGAGCGGCCCATTGAAGCTTTTCAGCTGGCAGCACTTTTCGCACGTCTCGTGGTTTCTTGATAGCCGCTCCTCATGGCTTCAACGTGGCTTAATGTGTGTGCCCAAGAGGCGCACTCGAGGATTTTGCACTTTCGGGAGCGCTTGGAGTCGAGTTTTGGGTCATCTTAAAAGGGGCATTAGGATCGCCAGCACTTCATTAGCATCTTTGTGCGGCATCTTCATCTCAATCTCCATCTGCATCTCCATCATCATTTCATTCGCATGCCGTCATTCGACGGCTCATTAGATGCTTGCTCTATTTGCTCTATCCAATCCCCTCCGAACGTCTATCTACCCTCCCCCTGTTTCTTGGCATGGTACATTGCCCATCTCACGACGCCCACACCTTCTGCTCTTCTCGTCCCGAATCGAAAACGCAGGTATCTACGACGAGGAGGCCGGCTACACGCCCATCCACCCGGACGATCCGGAGTTCGAGGAGGAGGAGGAGGAGGACGAGGAGGTCGACATCCTGCAGCAGTTCACCGAGGTGTCGGAGATCCGGTTCCCCGGCGAGATCGGGCCCATGGGGGATCGGCGGCTCTGCAAGATCCGCTGCGTCAAGGGCAAGTGGGTGGGTCCGCTGTGCGCCACCAACGAGGAGGGTAAGTGAGCCACCACTGCACCACCTGCACGCCATCACGCCCACGACAATGCACCACTTAATAGCCGTACTGAAGTACTCACAGATACAGATACTTAGTTGCAGTCGCAGATACATAGCTCCAATTACAGATACACTTAAGCCACACACACAGTTGCGAATCCATTTAATTACGTGCGCAAATAAAGACAATACAATCAGTACACAAGCGAAAGCAGCACACAATCCGATTGTTGTTTCATTTTGACCCAATTGATATTCTCCCCAATTAAAGTTACACGGAGGAAATCTTACACTTTTTTTCATTCCATGAATATTTTATTAAGCTGCTATGAATTGCTACCTGGATACAATTATCGTATAGCCTAGCCACAAGAAATTAAAGTTAAAATTATTATATCATTATTTGTGTACAATATTCGGAATTTACAAGTTTTTTTGAACACTCCACCTTAAAGTGAAAGGACCATAATCTTTTTAGATTTATACTTGGTTATTGGTTTGTTATTAAAGTTTATTTTTTAATTTCGCTTATATTTAAAACTTAATCACAATAATAAAATTTATATAAAACAACCTTTAATATGATCTACAATAGTTTAAGATGCAATCCAATTCCGTTGAAATATTTCTATAATGTGAAGATTGCTTAAAATATACAAACTGCTGTTTTTAATGAAAACAGAATCAGATTAATATTTAAAACAAATTTATTATTAACATACCTGGCAACAATTAGCTATACATCGGCTCCATTAAAATCGTCTAGAAACACTTTTTAAAAAAATTTATAGTTTATATATTCTATCTTTAAACTCACCTCAACCTATTATTATGGGATCTTCGAACTCAGTGGAAATTAGTAGTTGCCATACCAAAACACTACCTGCCAAGGTTTTTGGCGTAGAAAATACAAGAATAACATAAGTGATATTTTTTCCCCGCGCACCGATATCTGAACATATATCGCATCCCCAGACGATAATGGCAACGTGAAGTTCCAGCCGCTGTACAAAAGCTGCCACGTGAACCGGATTCCGTCGCACTTGCTGCTCAGCTACCGCAACATTTCAGTGGTAAGTGGTTAGGGTCGACGATCCTTCAGCTGGCTGCCGCACCACAACCACCACCACCGAACCACCACTGCCACAGCACAGAAACACACACATACATGCAATGCACACGCACACCGGTACACCAAGAGCTCGTACATGCATACGTTTTGTAGATTTCCGGAGATTTCCTGCGACCAAGTATCGATTGCTTTTGCGAATGGGGATCTCAGCTCCGATTTAGATACCGACTTCGATCTAGTACTTATGTATCTGAATCTCTATCTGCCTGCGCCTCTGCCTGTCTACTCTGTCTTCTCGCACCTGTCTATCGCTCTATCCTCATCTCAGCCTGAAAATCTCACCAATAAAATAAATCTCAATTCTCAATTCTCAATATCGCAACTATCTCAAGACCAGCGACCAAAGCCATCTGCATGCTGATGCTCGAGCGAAATCGGGCTAAACTCAAAACGAAAACGATTCTCTACAGTATTTTGGTTTTTTCTGGTACTCTCTGATTCTCTCTCTTGCAGACACCGATCCCACCAAATCGCGGCTGGCGTAAAACGCGCTTATCCAAATCGACACTTCTCTCAAATACAGAAATTGTGAGTCGTCGTTGTAGCTGTTGTGTAGATTGCACCCACAGTAAAACCCACAGCCAGAGCACCAAAAATAAGACACACACAGAAACACACACAGATACCCTCCAACACCAGCAGGGAGCGAATGCCAGTAAAAAGATACAAGTCGAAAGTCACAAGACCTACAAGATACAAGATACAATTTACAAGATACACATAGAAACTCGCACACGGAGATTGCCGAACGCGAGGAACTGCACGCCAGAGCAACCAGCGCCACTTTCCCAGTTCGCGGGCAAAACTGAATTTTGTTAGATAACTTTCTCCACTTTCTCTCTCTCTCTCTCTTTCTCTCTATTTGCTTTCTCTCTCACCCTCTCTATCTGCACCCTTTCGCTTTCCCCTCACCGCTTGCTCGCGACTTGCCCCTTGCCACAGAATGTGGGATGGGACCTGCCACATGGACACTCCCTGCAGGCCCGCTGCCAGGAGCTGGGCATCTACAAGCTCCTGGGCGAGTCAAGGGTCCTCTGCTCGAACGGTTTGTGGGCCCCGAGAATGCCAAGTTGCGTCCCCACCACCGTGTTGACCAACTACTCCGAGGACAGCGCTCCCTCGATCCGCATCAAGATCTTCAACGGCTCGCACTCCTTCGAGCCCTCCGGCGTGATGGCCGTTCCCCCGCACAGCACCGTCCTCATGGACTGCATGTATCCGAGGGTCAGGGGCACCCCGGAGTGGAGCTGGACCAGCTGGTACATGCAGTACCCCACAGGTGAGTGCGGACCCAATACTTCTGACACCCAAGGGGATTAAGTCTAACAATCGTATATCACTTGGAAACATTTGATGAGTTAAAATTAAAGCTTAAAAACACAGTGATTTACAAGTGGAAAATGTTTTCCGAGGAAAATGAAAACATTTATATTGCCTGTGCCTCGTATTTAACTTTGCCTAATTGGCATTGCTATGGAATTCCCCTTTTCGCTCATTTCTAAGCGTAAACAATAAGAGATTTAACTAAACAAACAAAATTATTGTTCAAATAATATTATAGCAAAACGGATTTATTTAAGCACACAAAATATCAATACATCTCACTTTTATAAGTGAAACAGATGAATCCACAAATTGTACGAGTATAAGTAAATAACAAGGGAAATACCTTTCTACTTCAGGATGGTCACCTGCCCAGGAGGAGAAGGCGGTGCGCTACCGACTGAGCATCAAGAACATCGAGAACAACGACTCCGGAACCTTCACGTGCACCTCGCCGCGCGGACTGACCAACAGCATTGCCGTCGTGGTGGCCACTTCGACGTGTCCGCAGCTGACAGAGCCGCTGGCGCCGCTCAAGCTGCGCCTGGAGGGCAACAAGCTGGGCCAGCGGGCGCACTACGAGTGCCCCGAGGGCTTCCGGCTGGACGGCGCTTGGAACGCCACCTGTCTGGCCTCCGGCAATTGGTCATCGCCGACGCCGACCTGCCATGCCATCCAGTGCCCGCGCCTGGAGCTCGACGACCCGCACCTCAGCCTCATCGAGCTGAACACCTCGGCATGGGGGCGGGCGGTGTTCAAATGCCAGTGGGGCTTCAAGCTGACCGGACCGGCGCAGCTGGACTGTGAGCCGTCGGGCGTCTGGAGTGGCCCCGTTCCGCGTTGCAAAGGTGAGCGATTGGGGTGGTGATCCACCAACTATGGGAGTACTATATGAGTAAGTGGGAGAAGGTGGTTCCTCTGTGGAAAATGTAAATAAAAGAAGTATCCTTGAAATGTTTCTCTCACATCAAGATTTTTAGAAATGTTACATCTGCCCTATAACCAGATTATTAGGAAAGAACAAGTATTTTAATTCATAATGGGTTATGGCCAGGCAAATTTGCATTACTTTTGCAAATGTCCTCAAAATATGAAATTTTCAGGACAATCTAAATTTATAATGATCTAATCCCTAAAACTATTAGACTTAATTACATTTTATCAAGCCACAAAAGAATGAAATAAAATTAGCATTGAATTCAAATATACGGAGTGGGTAAAAATGAACGAAGCTATAACCCTTTTAATCCTCCCAACTGAAACAATTTGTTAGATGTATCAAATAAATCTCTTGCAAAGGTGTCAAAAAGTAGGCTATAAAAATATAATTATTAAAAGTCCGATTTTAAATGCTTAAGTTTTTGATAGCTTTCATAATAAATATTCCATGTAGTTATCAGATATCAAAAGATTTGTGTTACTAACACCCTTTCTTGAATTCCCTCTACCATTCGTTCACGCATCGACCCCCGTCCGCAGTCATTCAGTGCGTGATGCCAGTGGCGCCGCTCAACGGGCGCATCGGGGGCACCAGCCTGAGTCAGCGGCGCCTCACCGTGGGCGCACTGGTCACGTTCAGCTGCAACGACGGGCACAGCCTGGTGGGCGAGTCGAGCATCATTTGCACGGAGAACGGACAGTGGTCGCACTCGCCGCCATTTTGTAAGTAGACTCGCTACTCACCCACACACTCACTGACATAGACACGTATTCGCGTGCGCTGCGAGAGATTGCCGGCGTACCGCTTCACCGCTCCACCGTTCCACCGCTCCTCCTCCTCCTCGTGGGCCCGCTCACAGACCAACCCAATTAATGACTCTTGTGTTGTATTTCCGCCGAACAAACGACCGATCTCGATCTCGATCACGATACCACGAATCACGAATCATCAAAAAAACATACCTGATATCCGATACCTGATATCGGAAACTACTCGATATCTGATATGATTAACGATACCGATCACGATACCGATAACGATACCGATAACGATACCGATACCTGATACAACCTGTACACGCATCACATGCCCACTGACCATCCACGCTCTCAGGCAAGTCGCAGTGCCCCTATCCCGGCGATCCGCCCAACGGCCTGATAGCTCCGCTCAAGTTTAACTACGACGCCGGAGACTACCTGAGCGTCCAGTGCCGGCCAGGATTCGTCCAGAGTTACGAGGGTCCGCCCGAGCGGCCCAAGTGCCAGCCGGATGGCCGGTGGTCCGGTCCGATGCCCAAGTGCAAAAGCTACGAGGAGGTGTAACCTCCAGAACGAAGTCGAAGTCGAAACCCAAGGCGAAAGTGAAACCCGTAGACCCGAAAAGCCAAGGATTCGCCGCCAAGTCAGCATTACGGATCCTCCATCTGAGCGGATGCTGCGACTCCGAACACAGATCGAAACCGAGTGATATTTAGATTAACTTAGTGAGAGGTATCAAAATTAATAGATATTTTATCAGATAGGTTCAATTCAAATCATTAACTCTTATGTGGCCCACGAACTTTTCCGAAAACTCTCCTTTCGAACGCTTTTCGAACTATGTACTCTTAATAGATCCAGTCGATCAGGCACTCTCTCCTCAGATATTTGTTCTTCAGATTGAGAAAAAAAAACATTGCGCTTGCATTTCATTATGAAGAATCCTTGTACTAACACTAAACTATTTAATGAGATATTTAATCAACAGCTGCGTACAGGTATTTATGTATTACGTACTATATTCTGGTTGCAACTCAAAGTTACATAAATGTAAATGTTTAAACGAAAAACTAAAAACGAAAAACGAAACGCAAAACTTACCCACAGTGCGAGTATATATATATGTATACAGATTAACAATTCTATTCCACCATAAAAATGTATTACCCCAAACGAATGAAGAGATTGCAGCAGCAGTTGTTGGACGAGTGTTGATTAGTTAGGAGCTAAGAAATGCCAAGAAGATTAAAGCCCCGAATCGAGGGGTCCCTGAAAGCCATATCCCTTAGTGATTCCATTTAGAGCTGAGGAGCACAGGTATTGCATAGTGTATTGTAAGCAGCTGCAATCTGCGTGTAAAGAAGAGACCGTTTTAAAATAAAGTACGAATATTGTGTAAAATGCAATCCAAAGTCTTTAACTGTCTCTGGGATTCGCTACGCGAAGGAGTAATATATATCCGCGGGCTCAGCGCGAAAGTGTGCCAAGGAAAGCCGTGTGCACGTGTTTTCCTTTCGCCTAAGCCAGTTGCTAATGCGAGCACAGGAGCAACATCCCCGGCAGCAACATTTAAAGCAGCAACATCTACAGCGGCAACATCCACTGCAGAAGCCAAAGTAAACAGTTACTTCATAAATGTGTGCTGCACTGAAAGAAACACTCGTGCAACTCAAGAAGAACATTCCCAATATTTGTTTTACAAATTTATTTTATATCTAAATCTTATAGTTTAAAAAGTAGAAATGTGCATTTCTTTTCTTTGTATTAGCATTTTTAAATCATTCTTAAAATCCATCATCACTCACAACCTTTTGCTTAAAAATTTGTTGTTGGTTTATGGAGCTTCTAGTTTATTTTTATTTAATATTTTGTATTATATTGGAACTCATATTTCAAACCATATTCAACACTATTTTCCTTCGTGCACTTACCTTTTCCGTACAGCTAAATGGCAAGGTGCGAGGCGGAAGTGAAATTCATTTAAAAGTTGAGACGAGCGGGGGAAATTTAGTTGGTAATCTTCCCCAAGGTTTCCCGTTCATGAGCGCGTGTGTGGCATCAAGTTTGCGAGCACAACCCGCAATGTGCACCTGGAAAATTAATTTGTTTTGTTCCTTTGCACCTCGAAACGATTGAGGCTTCATTTCCCGCCGCCAGCTCATTTTCCACACATGGCCGCAGAAACGCCATTGTCGTTTATTCTCAACCACGCCTCCGCTCATTTAATGGCAATTTGGATGTGGAACTTGGTGGCAAGCTGCTGGGTGGAAAAAGGTGTCCAAATTGAGACGCCCCGTTGTCACAGCAGCAACTTGTATGCGCTGCTATGTGCGTAATTAAAATTAACTGCTCCTGTTACTCGTACTTTGCGCAAATTGGTTTTGCTTGTTTGCCAGTCTCAAAAATTAACACAGCATACTTTGTGTGGGCACGACATAAAACTCGCATTTGGCTCGTGTTGAATTTTGAGTTGGTAACTTTAAGCAGAAATCACCATGTTGCCCCGATTGTTTCGGGTTAATTAAGGAACACGCTATTAGCCGCACGCGGATCCGGATGCGTATCCATGGGATGCATATCTGTGTGAGAGCTGAGCCATTTTCATTAGCACCTCCGCCGCTGCAGTAAAGCACAGGCCATCGCATCCGGACATCCGAGTAAGCTCAAACATATCACAACTGCAATATTTTCCCTCCGTGCTCTCGGGCCAAAGCGATGAACTATGCATGTCACGTAGCTCAAAAGCGGTGTCCCCGCACTTTGAACCCGTCCACACAGCATACGAGCCCACCCCCGCCTGGATTCTACACAGGGGAAAACAGGTTGGTAATCACTGATTGATTTCTAAAAGTTCCTTAAAATGTTAAATGATTGGGGTAACTCCGTAAATACAAAGTATCTCATTTGTACCCATGAGAAAGGATACACCAATTGAAAGGTTCTATGCACTCAATTACTTTCAAATTGTTAATGATTTAAAGCAATATTCACGGTCAATAAGTTTTTCTTCATGTAATAAATGAAAAAATCATTGAAGTCAATGCATTGCTTGCTTTTTAATTATCTAAAATAAAACTGCATTTATTTTAATTTTCCACGCATTAAGTAATTACATATTTATCAAAAACTAATTCCTAGGAAATTCTTAGCTTATTGAATTTTTTACCAAAAATTTCTAATACGGAATACAGAAAATTGAACATTTATATTTTTTATTGTAATTGATAGCGCGGTGCATTTTCCAATCAGGCATTGCGTTTTTCCTCTCTGCAGGTCAGCCATAAAAAACGAGCTTGGCCCGGACTTTTGGCCTGCCCCCCAGTCGTGTCCTGGTCTGGATGTTAAATGCATGCCAAAGCCCCGGGGCTAACTACACTTGAACTCCCCCTCTTCACTCCCAATTCCCCTCCCTTTCCCCTTCCCCCATCCCCCATCCCTCTCCATCTGCACTCCCCTGGTGCAAAAGCTGTGTTTTTAGCTCCGCGTTGGTTTAGAGACAAAGTGCAATGCCGGCCATAAAGTCATCTCTGCCATTTATTTCGACTATTCGCTGGTTTTAAAGTTGACCGCATAGTTGACAAATTTCCAGCACCCAGGAATTCCATTGGGGAAACGACGAGATTTTTGTGTGGCGGTCAAAGCACAATATCTCATCTGAATATTCTGATTAGTTGGGGATTCGTTTCGGCCTAGTCAGTCCCATGTGGTCCGTTGAGTGGGGAGTTGATGATAACATCAATCACTTCAAGGCTTATTGGCAATCAATTGGCTAAAAACAATGTAAGTTGGTGTGGGCTTTTGGGTAATTTAATATTGCTCGAAACAAAAATAAATCAAAATAGGTTCACTGTGTTGAATTTTTATTTTTATTTAAAAATAATCTAATAAGTTATCTAACCACAACTGGTATTAGTCGACACTGTTGGCTTTCAAGTAGAACAAGAATGATTTTAAACTTAAACTCCATATTTTAAGTAATTATAAATAGGTAAGGTTTAAAAGGGAATTTTCTGACCACTTTTGTAGCTCGTACCGCAAAAATGTGGAACCATCATTAGGCTAGTTTTAAGCAAAAACTAATCCGGACTCGCTTAATTAGCTCCTAGTTGTGGTCTTGGTCATGACGAGGGCGCTAATTGAAACTTTACACCTGTTGTTGACGGTTTTGCCGAGCTGCATCTCTGGCAAATATTAAAGAGCCACAGGATCAACGCCAGCAGCGGAAGCCCGCACTTGAACTTTCGCCGGCAATCGGTCCCCAAGGAACATTTTGTTGAGCACCGCGCACTAATTAATCCAACGGCCGCAGACACCTGGTAAGTGGGCGGGGAATCCCCCGCAGTGCATGCGGATCCCTCGGCATTCCATTCGATTCAATTCAAACGCATTACGCATACGCCACGTTGGCTGCTTGGCTACAAAGTGATTTATTTGCCGGCGGGAAATTAACATTTAGATTAAAGAGCGCCGAATTAACATTTTCCATTAATATTTATTTGGATCGGGGTCCGAATGAAAAGCAGTATAAAATGTTTCCACCGCTTTTGGCTGCAATCTAACTTGGTTACTTATCCGCGGCCAAGATGTAGCGAAAGTATTTTGCATTTTCCCCAACGTAATCCGAATCGGATGCGAAAACGAAAACCAACAATGGGGCCGAAAAAGATGAGATGGACCAGTGCTGTCTATTTGACTTTTGCTGAAACAATCTAATATCTTTCAACAGAATATACTTCCTACGAATTAGTTCATACAAATCAATTAAAACATTCAGCTGTATTTATGTAGGTTTAATTTTAATCGAACATGATTAATGTGCGATATTTAGTCACTCTATTTCATTTTAACCATTTACGTCTAAATACATAATTACTGATCCAAATGATTGGGAAGAAATTGATTTAGCAGTTTAACTTGTTTAATTGAAGTGCGCAAAACAAACTGATAAGCGTACTTATTCAACAAATGCAAATAATTATTATTAAATGATTTCGTTCTATATTTCCGCCTCTTTCAGACGGCAGCACTGAAGTGGACACTATTTTCACTTCAGACTGAAGCAATTTCCATTCGCATTTTCCGGCCAAGACGCAGCTGCTTCTTATAATGCTGATATGCCATCTCGTTTTCATTTTATTCCATCCTCTGTTATCAAAGATAACAAAAAGGAAACCCAGTATCAATCGATATGGGGCAATCAACTGCAACGGAGTTTGAAACACAATGACGGCTTCCTTCGAGGAGTAGAAAATCTAGATTTTTCTATTAAAAGCTTGGAGCAACTGGGATTTTCCAAAAATCTTCTTGGTGCTTTGTCCAACGAAGAGAATGCACAATCAAAACACAATCAATTCAATGTTGTTTCCTGTTATTTTAAATAAATGCTTATTTGAAGATAATATATTTTTGGCAAATAGATAAGAGGAATTTTTTATTTTCGTGTAAGAAAGTGAGAAAGCCAGTCAGCTTGCGTTTACTTCAATTATTTCTGAATTATTCGCACAGAAAGCCTTAAATTTGATATGCAAATTAACGAAGCGAAAGCTTTAAGCCGGCAAAATTGCAAACACCCTTCAAGTGCCTTTATTTCGATTCATACATTTGCATTTATAAATATGTTATCAGATAAATGTATGAACGGCTACAATTTATTATACTAGGTGGAAGAGTCCCTTTTCAGAACCCGTATCTCGTCGGCTGTGAATGCAACTTCCGCTTTGATGCTTCCGCCTCAGTGATTTTTAATAATAAAGCGAATTGGAGCGACAACACACAAATTGATAACCCGCTGTGTGCACTTCATAAAATGTAAAGCGCCGTGGGGAAAAGTTTTTACACCTTCTCCCAATTCTGGTGTAGTATAAATAATACGTACCGAAGGCTGGCACAGGCGGCACAAACAATGGCAATAAAAGCGTAACAACTCGGCCAAGACAAAGTCAAGTTGAAGGCAACAAAGCAGCAGCTTCAAGTGCGGAATGACAATTGACACGAGCTGTGAGGGAAAATGCCTCGGAAAATGCCACCCCGCTCGAGCAGCGAAAACCCAACAGCACACACCTTAACCTCGGAGAAAACTCGAAGGCCCCACCCCGTTTTTACCGCTTCGCACAATTTATTTTATTGTTGTTTGGCAAACAACTTTCATAAGTTTCCAGCTGTTCACAAACGGCACTCAATTTTGGTCGCCATAGCAATCGTCGTAACTGTCGCCTCCTGCATTTCCCGCCCCGGGGTTTTCCCCGTGAAAAGTTATGAAGAGAGAGTTTTACATTATTAGTTGGACGATGGTGTGACTGCGTTGGTCGCCGCGCAAACTGCCGGGAAAACAGCCGGACCACCGGACTCCGGACGGAGAGTTGGACAGACTCATTACCATAAGCAGTTGCAGCTGCTGCGGCATTTA